ATAGATATCAGGTGGGCTGTCCAGGCAGGGGAGCGGAGGCGTTGCTTGGGATGCAGGGCATAGCCATTTTTCTAGTCTTGTAGCGAACAATACGTTGGGCTCGAGTGCGGTGTATTTTGTGATCTTCCGTCTCATGCGGTCAGGCAAGTAACCCAGTACCGATGTTGGGCCCGGTCCAATCTCTAGCACCGAGACACGGACCCGGGAGTCGAAGAGGGGCGCGAGCAATTGGGATAGCCGGGGGATGACAAAGTCCTGGTAGCTTGTTTCCTGCGAGAGGATATCGAATCCGGCGCTGTAGTCTTCATCGGACAGGAGATGACGAGTAGGCGGGCCTGTGGCCTTGACCTTGCCCCTGAGTGCCAACTTAAGGGAGCCAAGAGTAGCCATTGAGCTTTGAGCTGAGATCAGGTTGCGTGTGAGAATGTGGTTTTTGCAGTCGAAAGAGGTGCTTGTGTGGAATCGATGAAATGGTTGCTTTGTGTGGGCAAGTCTTCAAGTATGTAGTGCTGTTGACAGCTAGTTGCTAGAAAGGCAATCAAGCTTGTATTTTGTCGGTAAAGCGCTGGCGATGTAAGCCGAACCGTGTGTGCTACACAAACCCGTGCCAACATGCTGGACAGCCTATGACACCGAAAGCAATGTGAGGGGCTGTCGGCCTCATTGCATTTCAAGCGAAATAGGATTACAATCATTGGATGCGCTGTAGTGAGGCCTACATTGCAGGACCTCCTCTGTGTTGATCTTGGCCTCTTCGCAATGTTTGGGAAGGGTAACAACGTGCAAACAAAAGGCAGTTAAAGACGAATCTGCAGGCAACCGCCCAGAGTGAGTCACTCCAGAGACCAGACATTATAACGGCAGTGCCCTCCTGTTTGAGATAGAGAGGCCCTTGGTTCTGGAAGGCTTTGATCAGCTCCTTGCTACTTACTAAGGCTCAAACAACTAGACCTCTTAGCTGGTGCAAGATGTCGCCTACGCCCTCGGTCAACAACGGGAGTATTTTTCAGCACAGTGATGCTTCAGAATTAGGAGGGGAGAGGACGAAGAAGACGAGGGGTAGGGGTAACCCTTCTGATGAAAATCACCAAAAGCAGCAACAGCATATGGCCAACGCCGCCAGAGACCCGGGTGATGAGCCAGACTCCCTATGTTCGAGGGAGGAGTTAGGACCGGATGTGAAACAGAGATCATCTAGTTTAATACCAGACTTTGATGGCTTGAGCCGACCAGGTATGTCATTCAGTGGCAATCTGTTCGTCTCCTGCTCCTGTGCTAAACGGACTCATTTGCTGTCTTTTAGGCATTGGGACCCGAGCAAGACTTGAAGAGTCTTCTGAGCAAGCAGCAGAGCGACTTAGCAAGATGTGTAATGCAGTTAGGACCATCCTTGAATGCGTCGGTGAAGACCCGGCCCGGTCAGGGCTCCTCAACACCCCCGAGCGATACGCCAAGGCTCTGATGTTTCTTACAAAAGGCTACGGCGAGAAGATCCAGGATATCGTTAACAACGCCATCTTCCACGAGAGTCACAGCGAGATGGTGGTAGTCAAGGACATTGAGATCTTCAGCATATGCGAGCACCACATGTTGCCGTTCACAGGGAAGATGCACATCGGATACATCCCCTATCACTCCGTCATCGGTCTCTCGAAGCTGGCCCGAATTGCCGAAATGTTCAGCCGTCGCCTCCAGATCCAAGAGAGGCTGACCAAGGAGGTTGCAAATGCCCTTATGGAAATCCTCAAACCACAGGGCGTAGCTGTACTTATGGAATCCAGTCATCTTTGCATGGTTATGAGAGGCGTGGAGAAGTCGGCGGCGACAACCATCACTAGCTGTGTAACGGGCTGCTTTGAGACGGAGGAGAAGATAAGGAGTGAATTCCTAAGCCTGGTGGGCGGTAAGAGATGAAGACAGAGACTGTCGGGAGAATGCATGTTGAGTCGTTATCACTGCAGTCTGCTCGTTTGTCGACTTTAGTCTCTCAGATTACCTCCTATCCAGACCTTCCTCTTTACAGGTCAATTGTACGTCCCAAGCGCATGTACGAACAAGGTACCTACCTGGCTTGATGTCTGGTTTCCATTGTGTCTAGATGTAGTTAGATGTGCTTTCCCTTTCACATAGAACGAGAGGAACCCTTGTCTATGTCGCCACCGTGAACATGTGCGGAGTTGGCGGAATGGAGAGGTCATGCGGCGACGTTGCGTGATTTCTCACCGAAACAGGCGGCTGCCATGGCGGAATCTCTTGGATCACCGTCAATTTGCGGCTCAGGACGCACCGCCGAAGCTGCGTTGTAGGGCGGCCGTTGAGGTGAACCCGATAAGAGGAATGTCGTTGGTTGGAGTCACAGGTATCCAATGCTGCATAGGCTACAGCAAACCCACACACAGGACGCTCTCCTTCGGAGAGCATCAGCCGTGGCTATCTGGGATACAACTTAGATACCCAATGATGCCGCCCCCGGGATGAAAACACCCCAATTGTGGCGCGTTCTAGACCCTACCCTGCATACTGCCAACTTTCATGTCGATGCTCACCTGCTGCAGTGCAGCTTGAATCCAAATCCCGTTGGTACAGCCCATCATGGAATGCCGTCTGTGGGCAGTCTAGAACAAGACGAGACCTGGCTCAAAAAGGAGTATTTATCTTGCGAGCCATCCCAGCACTCAGCAAACACCCATCAACCTCCCAAACCCCTTTTACCATACTCTCAGTAGCTTCCAATCTTCCAATCTACGTCTTAAACTTCGAGAATTTAAAGCAAAATGGTGCTTCTCCTTTACCTACGTTGATCTCTCTCATCCACAATGGAACCATACTAACTCACCTCCTCTTCAAGGTGTGGACAGTGAACCTCGTCATCGACAACCAAACCGACTTTACACTCTACCCCTTTACCCCGACAAGCATGGCAACCTGGTATGGCAGGATTAACACCAAACCCGATATCGTCAAGCCCCATACCAGCAACACACAAGCTGGTGAATTCGCGTCCAGGGAAAACACCGCGACCGGGAACTACCGGCGTGACGGTCTACACAGGGTTGGACCCCAATAAGGTCTTGATCCTGCTCATCATGATGCCCTACGGCACAGGCACTACCAACGAGACCAAGGTTGCCTTTTACGACAAGTCCAACACCACTGTCAACCAGGACCTTGTCGAGCATGTGTCGAACAACGGTGTTGCCGGAGAGAATGCCGAGTGGTCGTGGTCCGAGGAAGGAAAGACCCATTCTGTTTATGTAGGTTTTATGATTATTCAATTGCAAAGATCGATTGGGGTTGGATCTGGACGTTGTGCATAAGGAGCTAATATCTTTTTCGCAGGTTGCATCCAAGATTGGCCAGGGGAACAACGTCACGGCCACTTTCACAGTCAGATTGAAGAAGTTGATGGGCCAGGAGCCGGAGCTTCCAGGAAGCACAACTCCCGGTGGGCGATGATGTCGTTGAGCTGGTTTGTGGTCCCGTGGCCAGGGGGAAGCTTTAGTACGCAGCTGCCTTGGCCTAGTACTTTAGGTTATTTTAGCTACAAATATGCGGTTTGTACGTGACGAACCGTGATGGATTCATGTGTGTTCCAACATCGTAAAGGTATCCTACGCGCAACCCCCTTTTGAAACAGATAGTTGCAATCATGACTTTGGGTATAGAATGAAGGGAAGAGTTATGTTGATGTGAGGACATATCTAGCAGCAAGGGGGCTATCAATTGCTCCAACATCAGCTATCTCAAACGTTGCTTTCGCATAACCGGCGGAAAGCTGCTACGCCAGTCTTTCAGCACTGGACTGTGCTTCTGTTGGACGCCCATATTCGTGAGATGTGATACATACCTGACCTTAATCCCCGAAGGCATCAACCGACCACGTGCCATCCACCATCTCTATTGCTCGGACCATTTGACCTTGCCGACATCAGATGCAGCTACATATAGTCCGGAAGATGATCAATACTTGGCTATGCCAACGGTGAATGATGTAGTAGCAACGTTCCACCGACCCAACATCGCTCCCACCATTAATGCCTAATGAGAGGGAGGTGATAGGCTGAGCAGTAGTGATACAACATTTAGACTAGGTCTAGAAGCAAGTCTTGCGTATACGAATGTTGCAATGCATAGATGCCATGATGTATGAGTTGAAATGGGTGAGACCCCAAATCAAGGCAAGTTGCAGATCATTCTGTTCTCTCTCTTGTAGAAAAAGCACATAGTCCAATGGCTTCGGCGTGATAGAGCGCCGGCGAGATTGTTTCCCGAGTCCATAGTACGTGACGCGTGAAGCGTGCTACACACATAAGGTAAAGTCTACGAGTCCAAGTACACAGCAACGTCAGACATAACTAGTAATACCGCACAAACAGCTAGACTCAATACATCATATATTCAAGTCACTCATGCTAAGCCTGCAACGCATTATAGAATATACAGGTAGGTATCTTGGATAGCCGGTAGGATGCCACTGGTACACTTGAGGTTCCCTGCATGGCCTTGAGTATCTGGGTTGGAATTCTGAGGATGAAAGGTCTGAAGATGTCTGCAATAGATTGGAGGCGGCCGTGGTAGGTAACTTCCAGCTCTAAGCCTTCGAAGTGTAAAGCCACTGGCCTGCCTCATACCAGACCCTTTGCTACAATCAACAACAAAGTCGTTCACATTTTGCCAAAAGCAATTACTCCCTTGGGCGTCAGTTACACCTCAAGTCAAGTCATCCCACAATGGACCGTGTCAACCCTGATTTCATTAGTAACCTGATCGCCCAAATCTTTTCGGCTGCGCAGGGCGGCACCAAGCTTGACATCAACGACGCCGAAGCAGTCGGTCAATATGTCTACTCCATCATTGGCCTGGGCGCCGGGCTCATCTCTTACATCGGAAGCGCCCTGGGCGCCCTGTGTAACCTTTTGGGCACGGTGCTCTTTTCCCCCCTCGATCGAGGCCATCTGGGACGCATTGCGTGAGCGCATTGAGAAGCTCATTGATGTTAAGATTGAGAAGTATCACCTGGAGATTCTGAAACAGAAAATCCTGGGCTTTCAGAGCAACATGGACCTCTACAGCCGCTACCTGCAAGACTTTGAAGACGCAGTCACGCCCGAGGAGAAGAAGGACGCGGCCGACACGCTCAAGGCGACGCATATTGCGTTCCTGAGCGTTGTCTTGGCCGCTATTCCAGAATTCCAGGTTGACCCCTACGCCGTGCCCTCGCTCGCCATGTTCAGCCTGGTGGCCACCATACATCTCACGCTGTTGGCCGACGGCATCGAACGGGGCGGGGGGTGGGGGTACACCGATAGGAACATTGAGACCATGAAGGCTCAATTCATGGCCAAGACGTCACCCTCAAGCAGCAACACTGAGGAGATCCTGTTGCCGCATTACATCCTGGAGGAAGCTATTAGCAGGGGGGCAAGGCTGGTGTCCCACCCGAGGTACTCAGCATGTGGAAGGAGGCCAACGCCGCCCTGTATATGCCTCAGCATCACCGGGCCCCTCTAAATGGTGACGAGGATTTCGACTATGTTACCTACGCAAGGAAGATATGCATCCAGGGGCGCCAGAACGTGAAGCTTGACCACGGCAGCGATTCTCAGGGTTACATCGATGCCTCGAACTACCGAGCCTGCCGCGATTATGATTCATACATGGTTGTCAACGTCCTCAACTATGCCGAGCTTTGGCCCTTCATGGCAGGCGACACTTGGACGGAAACTGCCACTCGAAATGTCGACCGCGAGATCTTCTACGGCCCCTATGGTCGGTGGGCGGATAATGCTTCATGGACTCTGTCGAGTCCTCCTCCCGTCACCGACCGTCGCGAGCCCACCACAAGCATCATTGTGCGGGCATGGGATGATATCGATGGTCTACAGGTCAAGCATGGCTCATCATGGGACGGGTTCCAGGGAAACTCATCCGGCGGCGCGGCGAAACAACTTGACATGTCCAAGAGTGAGTATGTCACATCTGTCAGTGCCACGTACGGCACAATTCACAAGTATGGCAACAAACTTGGCAAGCTTGCATTCACAACCAACAATAACAATACACTCGAGAATGGAAACGCGGAGCATGCCGACACGGTGTCCAACGTCACCGCGCCCCCGGGATATGAGTTGATGAGCGTCATCATCACTCGATGGGTGGAAGATACCCCAACGGGCTGCGAGGGTGTGATCTTGGGCTTTAGACCATTGATGACAGATACAGCCCGGTCTTAACAGCAAGCTACATTGATTGGAGGGGGCTAGATGCCTGATGGCGGAGAATGAAAGCAATTGTCTATGGAAGTTTGGTTTGCCTGCTTCATATCACCAGATTGTTTACAGGGATCGGGGAGTATTCTACCAAAGAAAGTACTTTCCCGCGTTCCCTACTGATTCTTGTATATCCCATTGCCGCAAGCTCCCCTTCACTCCTCAGCACCACGGGACATTTGCTGTGAAAGTTCTGTCAGCACCTCGAATTTTCTATACACTCGAGACTGGAATTAGAAGTCCCGAGGCAGGAAAGAAACAGAAGCTTACATTCACAGCCGTAATTCGTGTAATGCGCCGTGACCCAGCAACTCCAGCCCGGAATCCAGTCCCAAATACTGTAAATGGTAGAGTTATTGGATTAGCATTTATCCTTCCGAGTGCGTAAAGTCTTCAAAGGGTGGGCCTACTCGGTATCTATGATCCACTCGCCTTTGGCCTTGCATCTAACACCAAAGCCAACCCCGGGCTGAATCAGGCGTACCACCCTGTACCCTGTTCCCGCGCCGGCACGGCAGTTGACGTTGCTAGTCGTCACCTGGCACGTCTTGTCGGCGCGGGCTTCCAGTTCTAGAGGAGAGCTCTCCGGGGCAAAGACGGCTACCGGGCTGCCGTGAGCGAGCAACGGGAGGAGGGAGAGGGCAATGGAGAGCTTCATTGTAGTTATTTTGGGACGCTGAAGGTGGCCTTTACAAGTTGGCATTTCACCCTCAATCTGCGGACAATGACGCTTAGGTAGGTAAGATGGTGTTGTTTTGCTGCACTCACGTTTTCCCATTTCTCCGGACTTACCATTGAATATGGCGTTGGCTGCGGCAACGAGCATCTCAGGAGTCAGGACCCTCCAGCCTTCCGCGAGAATATCTGGGAAGATGGTGGTTATCTAGGTACCTTAGGGTTACTATCAATGTAATCCCGCAATCCTGCCGAACGTAGTTTTCATCATCTCCGCTTTCGCGTTGGTCTATAACGGAGCCTGAGTGGTTCCGAGTCCCCAATCGCATTTTGTACGCGACACACATGTGCATCCATTCCAGAGTCCAGACCCGGGAGACCTTCAATCATACACCTGAAGGCTGGGAGCATCTAATTTAGTGATCCGTGAGATACATATAGTAGGCGCCAGAGCTCCTCTGTCCAAGGTTCAGTACGTTGTATTTCATCTACAGTCTGTATAAGTCGGGCAACATCAAAGTGCGTATGTTTTAAGGACCGATATTTCACCCATAGAACTCACAGGCAGAGCCTCATAATGTTACCTAGGTAGGTATAAGCTAAGAAGAGGGAAATATGCTAACATTCGCTCCAATTGGAGGCAAAATCCAGCCCTACATAGATAAAGGACTCGTCCCGTGTCATCAATTTATAGGCTCAGTTGGGTTGCACAACACTACAATCGGGCATAATCACACCGCGTTGTTTACGGGCGGCCAAACAGACAGGACTTTGTTGGAACGCTTCGTCTTTTTGAAGGTCACTAGACCGGAAGTATAACTCTGGGCTGCAGATAGATGCGTGTAACTGAGGTATCTGCATTCCCCGCTAGTATACATGTAGGTACCACCTGGCTTTGACTCCCTTATATGACTCTCGCATGGACAGTTTGCTTAGGTTGGGAGGTAATATATACCTTGAATCGGATTTTCCCAACTGCGGCAGCGTAAACCACGGCCATCTCCTTTATATGCCTTTCTTGGCCTCAACCTGTCAGTCTGAGTGTCAGCCTGCATACCTTTAGGAGTTCGCCCGACGGATGCTTTGCAGTCCTAGCCCTCCCGGGTCTCGACGTAGCCAAGAGGGGCGTCACGATAAATTCATATACAAGGTAGTAATTTTCGGCCAACATCTCTCGGTTAATTAAACTGGGTACCTTTATGAACAGCAGGCAGGCAGCCCAGCACAGGTTCTAGACCTCTAGGCTCTAGGTAGGGCTGAGCCGGAGGAGTTCCCGCTTTGCAGCAGAGCCGCATACAAGAGTTCCTAGCAAGGACCAACGCCAGGAGGAAGATGACAGCGAAGTAAGGTAGGTATCCAGCGTACAATCGCCCTATCCCGCCAACCGGTCACAACTTCCCCCTGTTTCTACAAAAAGTAAGCAAATATTAGCCGTACTCATCTGCATCCCACGCTCGCTTGCAGCTACCTTGGCCTACCTATCGGATTAGAGAACCTTCCGGTCCATTGCCTCCATGTACCGGAAATCGCACTATTGATAAGGCTTAGTTAGCCGAAGTTGTATTACAACGCTTCTAACAAGTCCTCAGTCACGAAGGTCGGAGGGCTTTTGACCTTTCAGGGGTGATGAAGGAAGGCAGCGATGCAAGGGACGGAGGAAGGAAGAGAGGTCAACGTAGTGGAATTGTCAGGACTATTGAAGAAAGGAAGAAAGCAGGGAAAATACCGTATGATCTCGCGACATAGGAAATTGCTTATGGGTCTGACAGTAGCCATGGGACCAATTGAAGTTTCTCAAAGAGCAAGCTTGGGCCAAGAACACCTCAGAGTCCTCAAGACAGCAATGCTTCAATTGGCTCCATGGCAACTATCAGACCCACAAGCAATTTTCCTATGTCGCGAGAGTATACGGTACAGGGCCAACATACTTCGTACATGCCAGAAATAGGGGCGTGTCGCTGGCTGAGGTAAGCAGTGTGGGCACCGTGGTTTTTTTTTTTTTTTTTTTTTTTTTTCTTTTTTCTTTTTTCTTTTTTTTTCGGCCTACACAGCACAAATAGATAAGATAAGAAGCTTGGCACACTCAGGCACAGACCAGGGTCATACCTGCCACTATAGTGCTCTGGTGCACCTGCCCCACCAGGCAATTGCCCCGCCTTGGCACACACATAACTTTCTGCCAACGTCGGCCTTCTCCTCTCCCCACCTTTCTCAATATACCACCCATCTCAATGCCTTTCCGTCCACCTCAGTGCACTCTTTGTGTATATGAAGAAGGTCCAAGATGACAGCGCTACTGCTAAGGAAGGCCGAGAAGAAAAGGTTCGATAAGACATGAAATTTCCAGTCTGTTTATTATTATCCTGCTGCTGTACCTTGCCAAGCTCGCCTACTACCGTTCTCGCGCCGATCTACCCTTAGATGACAATCCCTTGGTTTACACACACCAACTCGGCGAGCTTACCAATCGTCAACCCCGGTCCCAAAAGCTGCTGAAAGGGTATATCGAGGCCCAACTCGGTGAAGATCCAGTTCCGGATCTCAGCTCCAACCATGCTATCAACACCGTAGCTTGCTATAGACCGCCCCTCCTCATTAAAGTCCTCGGCGACGTCCATCATCAACACTCGAGCAAGCTTGGCGACAAAATGCCCTTTGACAGACGCTATAGTCTCGGCCGAAGACACCCCATTATCTCTGATATTAGCCAGAATACTCTGCTGAGCACCTTTGTACCCAACACCGCTGGCATTACTACTTTCTCCCATGGCGTGAATTGTGGTCTTGAAGCGTGGGTCTGATGCCCAGAAGGCATCCACTGCGCCTTCGCCGGCAGCCTCCTCTTTGGCTTTATGCAGCCGGGAGGGGTCCATGCCCACGACCAGATGGGTGATAGGTCCATGTGCAGGGCCGAGGTCCTGCTGCTGTTGCTGCTGTTGCTGCTCGAGAATCGACACTTCAAAGGCATGGAGGAGTTCTTCCTCGTCAATGCCGTGGATGCCCTTGCGCCTTAGGGAATCTTCGAGTTCGAGGTTCTCGGCCACGACACCAACACCGAGGACCATGGGGAGCACGATGGAGACGGCAGGCTTGCCGTGTGCCTGGCGGTGATGGGCGAGAAAGTCGAGGAAACTGTTTGCAGCCGCGTAGTTGCTCTGTCCCGGGGTACCTAGGGTGCCCGATATGGAACTCGTCATGACAAAGAAGTCTAGGGCCAGGTCAGATGTCGCCTCATGAAGATTCCAGCTGCCGTGGACCTTGGGGTTGATGCTTGTTTCCCAGCTCTGGTGGGTCATGCTATCGAAGATTCCGTCCTGTGAATCATCCATTGTAAGTGTCATGAACATCGGGAATGGATGAGTCTAGTAACTCACCCGCAAAACCATCGCAGCGTTTATCACTCCCCGAATGGGCCTGTCAGAGGGGACGCTCTGGATGGCCCTCTCAACATCCTCTCGCACGCTCACATCTCCTCTCATCACGTAAACCTCTGCCCCTGCGTCCCGAAGGTCCTGCACAAGCGATGAAGCCTCTCTGGCATCAGCTCCAGACCTCGAGAGGAAGGCAAAGCTCCGCGCCCCTCTCCGCAGCATCCAGGACGTGAGACTCCGTCCCAGACCACCAAGACACCCGACCAGCAGGTATGTTCCGTCTCTCCTTAGTGTCAGCTGCGGACGTGAGGGCAACACATGCAATGTCCCCCCCTCAGTGCATGGCTCGTGCAGAATCACCACCTTTTCAGCGCCTAAAGTCTCCGAAAATGTCGACACACTCTTGTTCAACAAGGTGATATTCTCGAAAGACAGCTTCGGAACGGGAATGCAGCCCTCTCGGTACAGACTCATGGTGCGTGCCAGCAGTTTTGCCAGCACCGCGGGCTTGCGCCGATGCAGCTCCAGGGGGTCGAATGCATGGTATGACGCACCGCGGCGGATCGGGATGCCGTCAAGCGCAACATTGGCAGACATGGCGTTGTGGGAACCAACCTGGACGAAGCGGCCAAACGGCGCTATGTGTCGCCACACATCGCTGGCCAGAGACTCATCCACAGACACGGTACTGAAGACGATGTCGACTTCGTACTGGCCGTCGCGGTTTTGCAGCCGAGATTGCTCGTCGGGCCATACAACGATCCGATTTCTATCTTGAATCCCGAAGAGATCCATGGCTTTGGTGACAACAGCTTCTTCAGCCACCCCGACATACGGGCGTGCCTTGAGTGCGAGTGCCACATGCATCGCAGCCTGACCTGCAAACCCGGTCCCCGGAGGAATCAGGACGGTCTCCCCAGGCTCAACCGCCGCCAGTGTTTCCAAGGCATACAACGCTGTGGCATAGCCCAGGGGAAGGCTCGCCAACTCTTGGAGTGATTCCCCTGACTCCAGCTTCTGCAGGAGGCTGCGATGGACCTTTTGGTATGTGGAGAAGGTCTCGAGGCTGAAGCCCACAACGCGGTCGCCGACCTGGAATGACTGGCCGGCAAGTGATCCGACTTGTGTGACGATGCCGCCGATCTCATGGCTAAGAGTGTTTCGAAAGTCGGCGCCCGAGGTGATCCGGACGTCTACCCCGTTCAAGCCCGTGGCCATGACGCGCACCTCGACGTATTCCGGCTGCAGATCACATGTAGGGGTGGGGCCTGTGTTGTGGACTTCGAACATGACTTTACCGGACCGCATTTTACCCACAAGTCGGAGGTTAGGGTCAAACTGGATGGATTCTGGCTGTTCCTGACTGGGGGCATATATATCATTCAGGCGCTCATTGGGGAGGACTCTGCTGATGAAGACCTTCCCTTCGGCAGACACGCAGTATTCGGTTTCGATCGATGGTGATGCTTTGGTGATTTGCTCGGTAGCGATGTCACAAATGAAACGGGCGATACCGTCCTCAGTCAGGGTACCATCGATGGTGTCAAGGTCGATTGCGACAGCGTTCAGGGATGCCCGTTCTGATCGAAGGGACCGGAGCAGTCCAAGAGCCATCGCGCTTTCGGGCTTAACTAAGCCTCGGAGAAGGGAGCTGCAAGATGCCCAGACGACGTTGTTGGCGCCGCTGAGGATTTTCTGCACACTCAGAAACTCGTGCTCGGTGGCGTTGGCAAGAATGCTGTTGCCCTCAAGGTCATCCAATAGAACCACGTTGGCTACGGGGTGCAGCAGGCCGTCTTGGATGCTCGAAACTGTGACCTGGAAACCTCGCTCCTCAAAATGCCGTTTGATTTCGCCCGCGATTCTCAAGCTAGTTCGTTGGTGGGTTACAAGAAGGATATGCCCACTCTTGGAGCCGACCTCCTCGAGAAGACCGGCTTCTTCCGAAGGTTTCTCGTCCAATTGGACGGTGGTGACCACCATAGTCGTACCTCCGGGGGTGTTGGGCTTCAGGACAAAGTCTACCTCTGAGAAACCATTTGTCATGAGAAGCTCGGAAATCTCCGTCAGGGGTTGAGGTGACGGGAAGTCCAACAAGACCTTGCTGCCAACGGCCAAAACACCCCGAAGTCTTCCCAATTCAGCGGGTGTCCGGATGGAGGCCAGGGCAACATATTGTAAGTCGTCCTTGATACCTTGACTTGACACACCCTGCTCGCAAACGTCGTCCATGACTGTTAGATCAAGACCGGGAAGCTTGTTCAAGAGCTCCTCGACCTGCTGCGGGTCAACGCCTGCGGCAAGAACCCGCGTACCTGGGTTCTTAAAGACGGCGAGCTCTACGAACTCGGCCACATCCATATCCAACTGAATCTCACCCCCCACGACTCGGACAGGGGGATGGTCAACATCAACCTTCCAAACCACATTGCTGTACGGCTGAGCCTTCACAACCTCAGCAGCATACCCTTGCGGAATAGCCGCCTCATACGCACTACACCGCATTCCCTTGATCTGCATCACCACCCGGCCATCTCCCGATGCAACCAATTCATTGTGCGCCGTAAACAGCCGGGCACCGCGCAGATCAACCCATGAAAACGCCTTCGCTTGTCCATCACAGAGCTGGGCATCTGTGGGCTTCCAGATAACCACCTCATCCGTCGCCACCGGCACGGCACCAAATGCCATGGCATTCGTCCGACCCGCCCAGAGAGCTACAATCATGAGTTGCAGACACGAATCAACGGCAGCAGGGTGCAGTACGTGCCGTGATTCTCCGATCATTCCTGGCACAGTAATCTTGAGAACCGTGGAGCAGTGTGCGGCGTAGGTTGTGCCATCGAATCTGATGTCGTCCATGTCTTGGAAGGTTGGGCCGTAGTCGAAGCCGACGGTTTTCAGAGCTTGGTTCCATGCCTTGCCGGAGGATCGTTGGGGGAGGTGAGGCACCTCCCTGGCTGCGGGGCGGTGCTGGCGGGTGTTGATGCTGATTCTGCCGGACATGTGATTCTTTCTGCTCCCGTCCGGGGAGACGGATGAGATGTTGAAATCCCACCAGTGGTTTGTGCGGGCACTGGTCGAGAAGGTGCCGCCGGGCAGGGAGGGGGACTGGTGCATGTTCAGCATGACTTCGACGCCGTCGTCTAGGTCTTCGGATGTCACCAATGCCTGTTGGATTAGGATATCCCGCAGGACATAGCACTCGATCTTGTCTGGCGACGGCTGCAGTTCGTTTAGCTGTGTCATCGCCTCCATGGCCATGGAGAAGTACCCCGCGGCGGGGAAGACGGCCTCGCCGCCCAGGCGGTGGTCCCTTAGCCATGGCAGGTCTCTGATGCGAAGGACATTTCGCCACGTGGGTTCGGCCAGAGAGCCGCCAGGGACCAGTGAGCCAAGGAGGTCGTGGCGTGGGAATTTGAGGTTTCGAGACTCGCGGCTGGTTCGCGACTCGGCCCAGAATTTTTTGGTTTTATCCCATTGGTATGGCGGTAGGTCCACGATCAGGTTGCCAGCTCGAGGCCGGATTTTTCCAGTTTCTGGGTTGAGCTCTTCGACACTTGTTGCGCGTTGCAGATTGAAGGGGTATTTTCTCAGAAAAAGCTCGCCCGCCAGTTTGAGGAGTGACGCTGCGCAGTCAACCCCCCTGACCAGGGTGGGGAGGTACTCGAGCTTGTGCAAGTCGTTTGCTACCTTCATTTGTCGGATTGGGCCTGCCAGCGCAGAGTGTGGTCCGATTTCGACGAGGAGTCTAATGTTGACAAACTCAGGGTTTGTGCAAATGGTGCGGACAGCTTCGTCGAACAGGACAGGGCTCAGAAGATTGCGGCTCCAGTAGGCTTCGTCTAGCGCGGCAGAGCCATCGTCATCCGACAGCACTGTGTTGGTGACCGACGAGACCATCTTCGCCCAGCCAGCCGGGAAGCGATGGTCGTTCTCAAAGCCAACTCGATCTTTGGCAGAACGTACCCAGTTCTCGTACTTGGCCGCGGCCGGGGCTATGTGGTGAGAATGATATGCTTTTCCGTCTGTTTTGAGCAACCTGGCAAACACGCCATTCGCGATGAGGGCCTCCCGGATCGTTTCAAGCACGACAGCGTCACCACTGAGTGTAACACTGGATGGAGAGTTGTGACATGCAATAACCACACGCTCCTCAGCGTTCTCAAGGTAGCTGCCAACCTCATGAACCCCCAGGCCCACCGCCAACATGGCCCCGTCGGTACGAATCTCCTGGGCTGCCTTGCCACGATAGTATGCTAGAATGATAGCCTGGGAGGCCGAGATGAAACCAGCCGCATAGGCGGCCGCAATCTCTCCCGACGAATGTCCCACAGTGACAGGCGATTCAATACCCCATGTGTGAAGAAGGTTGACCAGGGCAATTTGTAGGGCCGTACACAGCGGTTGAGAAAACTCTGCCTCGTTGATCCGGGAGATTGTCGGGTCGCGTTCGAGCAGGAGGTCTGCAATAGTCCAGTCAGGGGCATCATCGATTTCGCTCAAGACCATGTCGAGCTGCCTGATGCTCCGAGCGAAGCTGGGATAGTATGCCATGAGCTCAGCACCCATGCCAGCCCACTGTGCACCCTGTCCGGTGAAGACGAAACAGAGACCCAAGCTGGAGCATGTCTTGTTATCTCCTAAGTAAGGAGATTGGAAGGCATTGCCCAATGTAGCCGGACTTGCCACTACAAATCCTTTGCTACCAGAGAATCGGGTGCGGCGGTTTGTCAGTGTGTATGACAGATCCAGGAGGTCATGATCGCTGGCCACTGCTGCGAGAGCCTCGACGTTTCTCTTGAGCGTCGCGGTGTCATGCGCCGTGAAAGGAAGCAAGAACGGCCTATTCTGGTCCCAAGCATCGTTTGCTGTTTGCACTTTCGAAAGCGCTGCGAACTTGTATGTCTGAGGCAGGGCGAGCAATGCCTCGGCGCTTTCCACAATAATGTGGGCGTTTGTTCCCCCGTAGCCAAACGAGTTTACGCTGACGCGCCTTACTGGCAACCCGGACGGGAACGGGGTCGGCTCTGTTGGGACGTTGACTTTCCAGTCTTGCCACTTGATAGCAGGGTTCAGGCTGGTAACTCCATGGGTGGGCGGGATGACACCCCTCTCGACCGTGAGGATGGCCTTGATGAGGGCTGATAGGCCACTCGATGCTTCGCTGTGTCCAATATTTGTCTTGACAGCCCCGATATGCAACGGACCGTCGGTCTCTTGCCGGTCTCTGTTCATGCTGTGGAGCACAGCCCGGACCTCGAGCGGATCCCCAACCGCCGTGCCGGTGCCGTGACATTCAAAGTATCCAGTCATTCGGGGATCCAGCAGGCCTCCTCGACGGTAGGCGTGCTCAATGACATCCCGCTGGCCCTCAAGGTTAGGATGGGTGATGCCGGCCCCGGAAACCCTGCCGTTGTTATTGGTGGCGCTGGAGCGAATGACACCACGGATGGGGTCTCCATCTCGGATAGCGTCACGCAGCAACTTGATGTAAACGGCACCGATCCCCTCAGCACGTCCATAACCGTCTGCATGACTGTTGAAAGTGTGGCAGGTGGACGTCGGGGAGAGCACACCCAGCTTGGCCGTGTTCATGTGTTGGTCGACGGTGAGAATCAAGTTGGAGCCTCCGACCACCGCGGCACTACACTCACGGTTTCGAAGGGCATTGCAAGCGTTGTGGATGGCATACACAGACGAGGAACAAGCAGTGTTAACCACGACACTGGGTCCCCTCAAATTGAATACATGACTGATGCGGTTGCTGATGAGTCCGGGGTCTACACCCGTGGCGGCAAGGTTATGGCGGAACGAGGGCTCTTTGAAGCACATTTGCTGAAAGTCTGACGTGAACGTAGCCACAAAACAAGCCGTATCAGAGCCGGTCAGGCGGTCCAGCGTAGCGCCTGCCGACTCAAACGCTTCGTAGACGACTTCGAGAAGCTTTCGTTGCTGAGGGTCCATCCACATGGCCTCGACAGGGGTAATGCCAAAGAAGGATGGATCGAACTCTTGCAATGTCTCTTCCAAGAAGTAGCCCCCGTAAGGGCGGAAGCTTCCCGGGCGATCATTGTTCTCGTGAGCATAAGCGTCAACGTTGAACCTGGATGCGGGGACCTTGGGCGTCTGGGCCGAGCGCTTGGACATGAGCAGGTCCCAGAACTCAGCCGGAGACCGGACGTCACCTGGTAGGCGACATCCTGGAGGCCGAGGGAGAGGCGGTCAGCGTCACGGAATGTACTTGACCGCATCGTGGTGGACTCAGGTCTTACCCATGCCGACTACTGCAACCGGCTCGAGCTGCTCGCTCAGGGGAAGCTCTGAGCTCCCTGGAAAAGTGAGACCCGCATACTCAGCGTCGCTGACCAGACGCTGCATAGTCTCACCACAGAGTCCATATGATGATTCCTGGCCGCTGGCAGGGGCGTTCAAGGACGAAGTCTCGCTGTGAGGCATCTTGGTGTTTTGAAGAGTGCATGTCCAGGGGATGATGGGACAAGGTATGTGTTGCCATCATGGTGTCTATGCTTGTGTGGCCCATGATGATATTGCCCATCGTGGAGTCGCTCCGCCCCTCAGGAGAGATGCCAAGGATTGTCGTGCCGCAGGATTGATTGCGTCCGGAGACGGAGTTAACCAAAACCCTTTAGGCATCGGAAAGTATTTGGGGGCGGTTTTGACATGGCAATGATGATACGGCGTATGGTTGCCGGTCACTGTAGTATTTAGGGTCAATGAACCGCTCTGTCATCCTAGTGTAACGTGGCGCGAAGCTTGAGGTTCAACTTGAGGAGACGCTGACCGTTGACGGGGACAGCTGTCCCGCCTTTCGACCTAAGGTAGCCATCTGTGCCGCTCTATTACTGCTTGTGACTCCCAAACTCATCAAGCATACGTTCAGCCAAACCTACACATAATGATTGGCTTGAGTTACGGGGTAAGCCGAGTTAAGGTAATCACTCATATCACCTTCTCACTCTGGTAGCATCCGCTTGTTATGCACTCCACTGCTGAATGAACTTGAAGACCATGACAGGGAGTCGAGCAATCGCTGATGGCGAAGAATACGCCCAATCTAAATGCTATCATGTCCAACTTTGGACGTGGCGGGTAATCACTGCTTTCACAAACACCTGGCGATGTTGACTTTGAGATGCTAGTGACCAGGCATACCTGTTCGGTAATCCTTCCGCTCTTTCGTTCCTCAGTGGCTACTATCAAGGAGGTATGGAAGGACTCCGGGCTGCCAACAGGAAAATAGCTCCAATGTCCAAAATTCTATGATAGCTGACGCGAAACGCGTCCAGGCATCCATCCATCCGCTTCCCCCTATTCTCAGCCACCCCCTCAAATTCTCAATTACACCTCTACAATCTGATCTCCCTTACCGCCAGGGCAAACGTTCCCGCAGCGCCCGGCCCGAAGACTAGACTACCCACCACCAAATACGCCAGCTCTTTCCACTGCGTCCGGGTCGTAGGTGTTACGGTGAGATCCCTGTATGGTCCATCTCCCTCCTTCTTTGCCCTCTCTCCCTTCATGCTCGCGGCGGACACCAGAAGCAGGTGCGAAAGGGAAACACATGAAGCTGCAACAACCCACCAGTCAAACTGCGAGAAGAGATGCAAGTTCTCGATCAGCGCTTCGTATTCATGCGCTGCTGGCAGAGTGACTGTTGCGAACCCACGGATTCCGGCGCGAACGAGGTCGGGGATGAACAGGCGTGCCGCTGAAGCATCAGGGTCTGCGCTGCGTAGCGTGGTGAAGATGGTAAAGAGGTGGACTGCTGCGGCGATGGTGCCCGCGGAGAGCAAGGAAGCAAAGATCCATTTCTTGGATGACGAGCCCTTGGAAGTTGTGGAGGTGGTAGTAGTAGTAGTAGTGGCTGGCTTGAGAACAATGCTGAGAGCGATGAAAGCCGCCGTCACAAGAAGAGGCGAAGCCTGGAACAGGGCAATGTAGCCGTGATGTTGCCAGGTGGTTAGGCCGAGCCAGGCGGGTGTGAAAAGAAGAAGAGGGGCTGCCATGATAGGTAGCGTGACGGCAAAGAGGGCGATGGCGTCGTTAAGGGGCATCTCGGAGTTGTAGGGGTGGTTGGCCTGGTAAGTGGTATGTGCCAACCAGAAGAAGATGGGCTGGACAATGGCCGCCCCGTTGGCGTTCCACAAGATAATGGCCCAGACGGGCCATCGCAGATACCAAGCTCTAGCAACCTCGCGGCGGCGGCTTTCCATCAGAACCCATAGGTTGGTGCACGCCACGACAAAGTTGAGGTCGAAGAAGAGAAGACGAGGGCCGTAAGTCAAATTGTTGGAGAGGACTTCGTAGAAGGACGATAGCAGTGTGAGCTGCCAGTCAACAAGACGGATGCCTGTGTAGGTGCTCCGTAGATGGCGGCCGTCGGGCATGCGCAGGGTCCTCAGAATAGTCTCCATGCGGTCTGTCATGCCGTCAAAGTAGGCAACAACCCAGAGACCCAGCACGCCGGAAAAGGAAAGGAGAAGGAAGATGGGAGAATATGGTGACTGCGTCGTGGTCTGTACTATGTGGTGACTGGCATTCGCATGTTTCTCCCCAACCCTTCCCGCGATTTCAAGGTACTCGTTGATAAGGCCTCGGTAGTCGCTCGGTCGATATCTGACGCACATTTCGGAGAATACATTGCTTTTTCGTCTTGGGTTCAAGCCAAGATCACGCATCAGAGTGTCGATATACTGCTCTCCTCGTCATGGTACTTGTAAGCTCGCCGTTCAATTGCAGTCAAAGACACTTGGGGTAGCCTCACCGGTATGTAGTCATAGATGAGATACGCGTGATTCTTCCCTTGATCCAGATAACGCTTCCGCGTCCAAGCGTTGAAGGTTGCAACCTCCATCTCCATCTCACCTTGCTGGGGTAGGTCACGCAACCCGAGCATCCAGCTTACACCCCAAAGCGCCTGAAGCTCAGCGACGAGAGGGGTGAAGGGAGAGTGAACGTGCCCGGGAAAGAGAATGGAACGGTCACCACGAGCCGCCAGTTCTGGGACAACAAGACGACGGTAGTGCCGATTAGGACCGCCGCATGCATGTGGCGTTTTGGAATCCGACGGCGCACGGGGTGACCTTGACAAATACGGAAGAAGCTTATCTACGCTTCTTTCCCCATCTTCTTCGAGTGCGGTCCATCTAGACAACTTGGTGCGGTCGTAAGACAAACCAAGTTCCTCCTGAAGCTCCAGGCTGAAGGCGGAGAAACCCTTGTCAAACCCGGTACAGCAGATGACAACGTCTGTGGGGAGAACCGATCCATTTTGCAGATGAACGACATTTTCGTCAGAAAGCGATTTGATCTCCGTCTGGTGGATTTTGACATTGCCGGAATGGAACACATCCCAGAAGTCATGCTGGGTTGCGAGGCCAATGCCGCCGCTGCCCCAGAATACGCTGTATAGAGTCCAGTCAGCTGAGTATGTCTTGTATTATGGCAGTGAGCAACGAATTCGGAACTCACCCGTCGCCGTGCGGTCGAGGTCGCAGTTTCTCAGCTGCTGGAGTCCTCGAGTATCCCGCGTAGTGGTCGCATATGACAGAACTAGCTCTCCAGTACAACCACATGAGCGTTCTGCCAACAACCGAGCGCTGGAGGAAACTGTAAGAGAGCCCCGAAGTGTTCATGATGCACGGACTGAAACTTGCAGTCAGGCGGGTTGAGATGTGTTCCGCGTTGTGCCACAACCTCAAAAAAGTTGGGGGGTATATGCTGAACGGCCCAGATGGACCATCACGCATCACCCAGTCGACCTGTTTGCCGGTACTCAGGAGCTGGTAGACGGCATCGTAGGCCGACTTCGCGCGGCCAACAACGGTGGCCCGCTCGACATGATCATTGATGTACTTTAAGTGGTCCTTGATCCCGAGAGAGTGCAGAACGGGCTTCTCAAAGCCAACACAAGGCCACTGAGGCATAACAGGGCTCGAATTTGCACCCGTGGCGTAGATTAACTTGTCGCAGTGCAGTTGATACTGGTGTTGTTCACCGTGGCCGGGAAGGGGACCCTTAACAGTAAGCAACCAACCATCGCCACTGGACCCTCTGCAAACGTTAAGGGCTCTTGTCTGAAGCCGCACTCGGGGCAAGAGATGATACTCTCTGGCAAAGCTGACCAAATATCCGTGAATGCTCTCGCCTGAGATAAAACCGTCGGGTGAGAGAACCGGGTCAACCATGGGAAAAAAGGAGTACTCGAAAAGGGGCTGGCTGATTTGGGCATGGAGGCCTGGATAGATTCTCTCGCGACTCCAGACACCCCCCACAGTTTTGCTATCGTCGATGACCAAGAGCTCTGTCTCAGGTGCGAGCTCCATGAAGGTGCGGGCGGCAACAAGGCCGTACCAGCCTGCATCATCTTGTCATCAGGGGACTGTATCAGGTTTGTGATATCCGCTCAACCGTTGGGAAGCTTGAAATTATTCCTTTGAGTTTGCAACTACATACCGGCGCCAACAACGATGACATCGTAGTGTTGCGTTGCGTTTATGCTGGAGTCGCCCATCGTGCAAGGCCCGACTGATGAAACTGTTCTGACTTGAAAGTGAGGGATGGTGAGTAGTTTAATAGGCAAGAGGAAAAACAGGAGACAAGAAAACTCGACGTATCGAGGGAGCACTTGTGTTCACAACCTAATCGATCTTGTGCAAGGTGCTGGCGGCAGGTGGTGCCTTTCACAAGCTCCTGCTTGTTCTACTAGTAGCAGAGCTGCCAAGGCAGGATCACAATGGATATCCTGCTCTGGGTTCTCCCTTCTCTCCGTTCAGGCCATTTAGTTAAGGTAGGTAGGTATCTCGTCACTAACGAAGGGGGGTGCGACCAGGTTGCAACCTTCAGGGCCAGGGAGTCGATCCCACCCGCTGCTTTCCGACGTTTCCGATACTATTTCGCCTATGCGACGCAACCGGAAATTTAAGGGAAAGATGGCTATGGAGTATTCAGCAACAGGTTTGTCAAAAGCCAGTTTGCTTCTGCGTCACCCTCTCTTTCAATCACGTAGATACGATACCTTACCCAGGTAGGTATTCTCGTGGAGGAACCCTCAGCCTCCGCCTCCCCCTGCCATAGGAGTACAGTGCATGTCTACATGTAAGGAACTCTTCTTGGCCCCCGCCATCACCAACATGATGCGACCCTACCGACAAGACCATACAGGTACTTATCTTTCACCGCTTCAAGCACCAGAGGCCCTCCGTTAGGCAGCAGGATCGCTTATCATCCATGTCGGTATACTCCGAGTCAGATCGGTAAACACTGCACGACAAGGAGGCAGAGAACAACGTAACTTTGTCAACGCCAAGGCCCTTCGCCGTTCTATCTCACATTCGGCTTACCAAAACAAGAGCCCGGCATAAAACTCGCAGACGCTCCAGCAGAGAGGATTGGTCTATTAGTATTGGCACCGCCGCCAGCCAAAGTTCATCACATATCGTGAGTTTCACCAGGTTCAGCATAAAATCGATAGTGCCAATGCAAGGAGTTTTTGATAAGGAGCATATTCGACAACTTTGGAGGGGCAAGACCTCGGTTAGATGTATGTAGGTGGGAATCCCAGCCTTAAACTGTTCCACTATCGATCAACTCGCTTCATCCAGGGTATACAGCCTGGAGATCTTATAGACTGTTGCAAGGTCGAAGTAGATGGTGTGCAAGGTGCGTGATACTAGACTCGGATGAGGAGATACGTCCAAGGTACCTAAGATATGGACCTGCAGTAGATTCAGCTCAACACGTCGAGAATATACTGCATTAGCGTGTTGAATATCGCGGTTATGGGGTACGAAAATAGGTGGCATCCGCGTGCAGCCTTGAGTACCTTTATGTCGAGGAACTAAGCAGGAGTTTGAATAGGTATCTTGAGTGCGTGAGGATACGGTCAGATGGATCCTTGCTTCACGCCCAGAAGTAGTGTACTTCAACCTGTCACAACGATGGGTTGTGGTCTCTGCTCATAGCCCCCCATTCTTCAGTCGCCCCAGCCCTGTGCTTCTGCATTTCGGACTGCCCTCCCGGCTGCTAACGACATCATAAAAAATGACGGATCAAAAGGTTGCCATTGTAACTGGGGCTGCAGTATGTACCCAACCTCTGTCTAACTGGGGAACTTTGACAAACCAGACTCTAACACCAGGACAGTCGGGCATTGGCAAGGCGCTAGCTGTACGCTTGGTAGAGAAGGGATGGCTTGTTGCTCTACTTGACATCAACGAAGAAGCCGGTTCTCAACTTGGTAGGAAAACCCCCTCAAGGTTCATGTCAGTCTCGCACCGGATCCTGCTCACATCAAGCTGCCCTCTAGCCTCCAGTCTCGGTCCTAATACCATTTTCCTCCCAACGGACGTCGCATCGTACACTTCCCAATCTACCGCCTTTTCCGCCGTCTTCTCTCGCTTCGGACGCATCGACGCCCTCTGTGCCAATGCGGGCATTGTCGATCGATGTTCACTTTACCTCCAGTCCCACCGTCCCGAGAGCGTCACCGACATCCCTCCAGCTCCGGACCTGACAGCCACAGACATTGACTTCAAGGGTGTTGTATACGGCGTCTACCTGGCAACACACTTCATGCGGTTCAATCCCCCAACCGCGTATGGGAAGAAGATTGTGGTGACGGCGAGTGTCGTTGGTACCGTGCCTTACCCAGCGTTGCCGGAGTACAGCGCCGCCAAGTCTGCTGTCGTGGGATTCGTCCGTGCCACTGCGCCGGTGCTGAGGCAGAAGGAGGGAATTGCCTTGAGCGCGGTGTGTCCCCATTTTGTGGCCACGCCGATGCTGCCGCCTTTTCTTGTGGACGCGGTTGGGGATACGCGGTTGATATCTGTGGATGAGGTTGTGAAGGCGTATGAGGTGTATTTGGATCAACCAGGGGACAGATATGCCGGGGAAGTTGGAGAGGTTGTAGGTGGGAGCTCGGAGGTCGTGCCCCTTCCCACATACGGGACAGAGCAGGCGAGAGAGTCAATGGTTGCGGGGATTGAACCAATCTTTGAGGCGGTCCATGGCGGACCCAGTGGTGTGGATGCTCAGCATCTGTTTTGAGTGACCAACTTACTACCTTACTTAGTGGTAGCACCGAGAACATCAGTCCTCCATGTTTTGTATAGATAGAGGTTAGGTAGCCAGACTGCAGATTCTCCTCCACCGAAGCACCTGACCTACCATCTAGTGTAGGGATATAGCACATGTAGGCTTCTTCGCTGGATCCGTATCAAGCAGAATGCGAATAAGCTATGACTGGGCACATTACCTGGCCCTGAAGGCAAGCAGATATGGAATCTATATGGCAAAGGCATGTAGACTCGTATTACACGCCTTATGGCTTGAAAAGAGGTATTGGGCATCACGACTAGTAGACCACAAAGCAAACTCTACCTGCACGGTTAACAATGCAGCAACGACAAAAGAGACGAACAGTCTCAACCACGCCGTTCTCCAAGCTCCTACTCCCCCTTAATCCTCAGGATAGCCTTTCCAAAGTTCTTACCGTGGAAGATACCGAGCAGAGCATCAACCGCATTATCAATGCCCTCTGTGACATCCAACTTTGCAGTGTAGGAGCCCTCAGCGAGCCACTTCTGCATCTTCTCCTGATGGTCCTGGGCATAATCCGGCCCAAAGCCCTTGTCAAAGACAATGAAGCCGCGCATCGTGATGCGTCTTTCGATGATAAGGAATAGGTTCTTCACGCCATGCCGCTGCTCCACGGGAGTGCTGTATTCCGAGATCTGTTTCCCACACGGTCAGCAACTTGAACCCTCTCATCATCCACAGCCACACGATCAAACTTACCATGCCACAGCCTACAACCCTTCCCCAATCGTTCATCTTCTCCAACGCCGCCTCCAACTGCTCTCCACCTACATTCTCATAGTAGATATCTATCCCATCCGGTGCCAACCTCCCCAACGCCTCCAATGGCTTCTCCTTCTTGTAATTAAACCCCCCATCAAACCCCAGCTCCTTCAAAATAAACTCCAACTTCTCATCACTCCCCACCGATCCAATCACCCTCAGCCCCTCCCGCTTGGCAAGTTGTCCCACAATCTGCGCCACGGCCCCCGCAGCCGAGCTGATGAAGATGGTCTCCCCCTTTTTGGGCTTGCCAATCTCATACAGCGAGCTCCACCCCGTGAGACCAGGCATGCCCAAGGGCCCGAGAAAAAGTCCCAAGTCCTTGAGGCTATACGGATTATGCACCTTGGAAATGACCCACTGCAGCCCCTCCTTGTCGAGGACCGCGTACTCGGCGATGGGCAGCAGGGCAATGACGAGGTCGCCTGAGGCATAGTTGGGCGAGTCGGACTGGAGGATGCGCGCGACGGCGTGGTTGATGATGGGGCTGCCAACCTCGAAGGCGGGAAGGTAGGATTTGATCCATGGGTGGCGCATGCGGACCCGTAGGTAGGGGTCTAGGGCTGAGTAGAGCAGCTCAAGGGTGATGCCGCCTGAGGGAGGTGGGGAGGCGGGGTCGAAGGGGAGGGATTCGATGGCTAGGTCTTGCCCGGGTACGGGGAAGCCATTGGGGATGGACTTGAAGATGAGGGTTTTGTTTGTTTTGGTTCCGGACATGGTTTCGGTGAATGGGTGGAGAATGGGTTTGTAGATGTAGTGAGTTGCAAGTGGCAGATAAGCTAGTACCTTAGGTATGCTGGTATGGAGGTAATATGGGGTTTTATATGGCGGTGTATATAAGAAACCAGGTTGAAAAGTACATGGAGAAGCCTTCTTGGCGACAGAATCGCGTCATCGAGCAGCTACAAGAAGCTTGTCAAAGGCCAGGGGTCGAACGGCTAGTACTAGTACACACTAGCATAGGATTAAAGTATGTACAGGACTTTGGGGAGCAGGGATCTGGCTGACTGTATCTACATGTACGGGCCGTCTCCCCGGGCAGCTGAAGTACCTTACCTAAGTACCTACCTAAGGTAGACAAGACAGGTGGCCCAACAATGGACCAGTAAGGTAATTTGGTAGAACCCTCCATGAGATACTAATGTTACAGAAAGAAACAGCCACGATTCAATCCAGGAGCCTCCGCTAGGCCAACCGAATTACCAACTTACCAATACCTCCCTTGCCCGTCGCAACCATAGTACAAGCTTTCCTCACCGCCTCGATATCCTCGATATCTACCACCGTCATGACGGCCTTGATCTTCCCGGCAGCAACCCATTCGCCAGACCTCTCCAAATCCTCCCTATTGCCGGGGTTTCCCGATACAAAATCCTGTTTAACCTTGGTGCCTCGCAGCATCCAGTTATACCACATGTGGGCTAAAGTAGTTATCGCTAGAATAAACCAGCGAACAAGTATGGGCGCAGGCGAGTCCCCTATCATGCTCCTCACCGTCCTAGGACTGGGTATACTTGCGATCGAGACCACGGCGCCCGTCTGCGGGTTCGCAAGCGGAAAGGTACCAACCAAGTCCCACTGCGTGTTCAGAACAAAGTCGACGGTTCCCCTCCCAACTTCTTGCACAATGTTTTGCGTCTCGTAGTTGACCAGCTCATCCACGACATCAGGCAAGTACTTCTCCACAAGGCCCATTTTCGGGGTCGAAACCGTCGACACTACGGTCTTAGCACCGTAGACGTTCTTAACAACCTGGGTGGACACAGAGCCAGCCGCGCTCAGTGCCCCGGGGATGAAGACGGTTTTGCCCTCTAGTGTGCTAGTCCCGGGCGGCTGGCCGGTGAGCTCAAAGTAGCGCTTCACACATTGGTATGCCGTGAGAACGGACCCGGTTAGGGCTGCGGCCTCTTCAAAACTCAGATGTGCGGGTTGATCAGCAGGAACTCGGCTGATACAATGGTATATCCTGAAGCAAAGCCGGGCGCTGCCATCGTAGGGAACATCTGGCCGTGCTTGAAGGCAAGTCCACAGACGGCATCGCCTACGCGAAGGGATTTGACGCCGCTGCCGACCGCGATGACGATGCCGGAGCCAGACATGCCGAGGCGGAGGGGAAACCTGGTTGATCTCGTCATGTTAGGTTTCTTCTGTATATACTGGTATTGTACATGCCACATACAACGCTATCCGAGGTCACGGCAACTCACTTGGTCGAAACCAGTAGCTTGGACACCCCAGCCGCAGCTTGGGTATCTCCAGTTTGGATGGCAGCAGCATGGACGCGAATCAGAACGTCATTTGGCTTCAGATCGTCTGGGGTCGGCGTTGGGAGGTCTATGACTTCGTAACCCGCGGGCTGACAGTATCTGGGGGCTACGAGGGAGCGCATGGTGGCGGGTATGGCTTGCACCATTGTTGGATCATGAGTGTAGATCGACTCTGGTTAGCATTGGGAAAATTCGTCCATATTTCGAAAGCAGAGTAGCTGGCTATTTGAATCCCAAAATCTGTCTGGACTCTGTACGGCTGTGCCTGGTTGGAATCGCCGAAGCACCGGCTTGGCGACTTGGCGGCTTGAAAGTTGAAACTCCGAACCAAATGTAACAACAATATTGCCTAAGTACCCAAGGTACTGGGTGGGATATGAAGGAGCTCTATTCCTGTTAAGGGCATTTATGATTGTGAGGTAATAGCAGGTATAAAAAAGTGCAGAAGAAAAGAGTTACGGATAGTATAGAACATGCTTGTGCACGCTAGGGGCTGCTGCTTGGATCCCTGATAATCCATCCAGCTTTTGGAACGTGTATACAACGAGGCGCCCGGTGACGACTGAGGCTGGTGTATCGTGTTTGTAAAGTCGGCCAACATGAGCGAACGGTACTTGTGTACGAGGGACATGACAGTCTCGTCAGGGACCGACAGAAAGATGCACTTGGCAACAGGCTCTGCAGCTAGCTACATAGGTATATAGATGCGGGCAGACCAGGCATCGACCTTTGAGTGTACTGGTCACAACCTCCATCCCCTCCCATCCTCGTTACTCGTAGCTCACTTAAAGAAAAGCTGTGGTCGGTATGGACTACGGAGATTGGTGGAGCCAACAATAGCCCGAGACCCGAAGCTGCATCCGCCGGAAGGTTACACCAAACCCCCGTTGCGACACACTTGCAGACTCGCGGGCAAATTGATGATGAGACGATTCCTTTATGGCGGCGGTGTGCATTCGACGAAATGAAATATACGGATGGATGACCGTGTACGCTACCTAGGAACCTACTGATTCGCCCCGGATCCGACTGGGCGTTGGGGTTAACTCTCTCAGTAACGGTAATGGTATATGTCTTCTCTGGGCAGTACCCACCCGGCTCAACGCGGGGTTTGTGTGATATAAACCGGCCTCAGACCCTCATCCGACTCATCCTGTTCGCCGACCTTCCTGTCCACGGACCACTCGTGACAAGATGGGCAGCGTTCCAACTCTACCCGAGGCACAAACCTTCTTCACGGTCGGCGACAAACATGAATTCGATCCAGAACGATGGGTATCGGACGGCCAAGAGCCGCGCCCAAAGCGGGATCCGGAAACACACGTCAAAGTGTTGATCGTAGGCGCCGGCTACGCCGGGCTGCTGGCGGCGCTCGAGTGCTGGCGGAAAGGGCACGACGTGGTGGGCATCCTGGAACGCAGCCAGGGGCCCAACTACAGCGGCGACCTCATCATCATCCAGCCGTCGGCCCTCGAGGTGCTGCGCCACTGGCCGCAGATGCGGCGCGAGCTCGGCGAGGACAAGGTCACAGCAGGGACCTACTACTACCGCCACAACGGCGAGCTCATCTCGGGACCGGCGGAGCCGAGCTACAACGCGGCCGAGTACGTCGCCGAGCGTGCGAGCAGGCCTGACACGGTCGGGTACATTGGCGCCGTGCAGATCCGCAAGAAGTTCTACCGAATGCTGTTGCGGCAAGTGGCCCGCCTGGGCTTTCGCGTTGACTACGGCTGCCGAGTCCAAGGCTATTTTGAGGATGAAGGGGCTGGGATTGCCGGCGTCACCCTCACCGACGGTTCAATTCGGACGGCGCACGTCGGTAAGTAATCACCTACCTTACCAAGTAGCCGCTGGTCTATCAGTTTCCATCGAATCATCTGACGCATCCCTCTGTAATATACAGTCGTCGCAGCTGACGGCAGCCGGTCGAGATCCGAGTTGCTCATCGCCGGGGAGCACGCCGTGACGAGGTCCAGCGGCATGTCAGTCTACCGCACGGCGTTCCCAGCCCACCTTGCCTTTGCCGACGGCATGGTGCGCGAGCGGTGGGGGGGCAAGCACACGTACGAGTTCTGGCTGGGGTCGGGCATGCACATCGGGCTGTATTTCTCGCCCGACCTGGTGGCCTTTGGCATCACGCCGCGCGACGAGTACCTGGACCCGGACCAGGTCGTCGTGGACCAGGATTCGTGGGATCCCAACGTCGATCCGGACGAGGTCATTGCTGTGATGCGCCGCGCCAGGTCGGCCATGGATAAGGACGACCCAGACCCGGACACGTGGCACCCCGTAATCGAGGCCCTTGTGCGCACCGCGCCCCGCGGAAACCTCATCCACTGGCCGCTGCGCTGGCGCGATCTCCGGCGGGAGTGGGTTTCTAAGGGCGGGCGGGTCGTCCAGATCGGCGACGCGGCACACTCGACCATCCCCTCCTCCGCCGCTGGCGGGACGTTAGCCTTGGAGGATGCTATCACGCTGGCTTCGTGTCTGCAGCTGGCCTCAGCACCAGGGGCAGCAGCGGGCGGGGCTCTTGCTGGTTTTGGCGTGCCGATTGGGACGAAGGTGTACAACTTGCTGCGGTATGAGCGCACGAGCTGTACGCAAAAGATGGCCTTTGTCAACGCCCAGGTGCTTGGCAACACGACGGACTGGGACGCTATAAGGAAAGACCCAAAGAGGGTCCATGTGCGCTACCCGCGCTGGCTCTTTAGCCACGACCCGGAGGGCTATGTTTATGAGAAGTATGGCCAAGCTTTTGCCCATGTGGTGGCCGGCGCCGAGTTCCGCAACACAAACATACCGCCGGGCCATAAGTTTGTGCACTGGAATCTGGAGCAGATACACAAGGAGATGGCGGCTGGGAAGAAGGTTGAGGATCTGCTGGACGGTGACTGGACGTAGAGAGAGGCATCTTGCTTAGGACTGAGCAACATCAGCGATTCAGGGGCAAGCGTAAATAGCCATGTTGCTGGGCCAACGGTTCATACCTAGACATTTATTCTGGAGAGCAAGTTGGCCTTATAGTCTTAGGACAACGTGAAAAGCGTAGGTATGGTGTTTCAAATTGGGTCTCCAGCTACAACGAAACAGCGTTGGGGCTTTGGCTGGATTCAAGGTTGACGAAAGGGAGGAAACGGAAGATGGAGATGAAACCATTTGAGTAAGGTACCTATATGTTAGAGCTACCACAAACCCTACCTACCTACCTACCCAATATACTTATGTATGGATCCGGGAAGTACCAGGTGACTTTCGCAGATATCTGTCTACAATGTTTTCGCCGACATAGCCTGCCTAGGTAGGGACGTATTGCAAGAGATGATCCAGCTTACAGCTCTCATTGTTGCGAGATAAGCTACGAAGGTATGCACACTTAGGGTTCCACTTGAATGAGACACCCCCCTTGCGCGGATCAAACCCTATCTTTCTCCCACTTTGAATTACATGCTGGTTGTACCTCACCGCCAACCCTTCCCCCCCTGAACATTAGCAGCCCAAGTAACAGGTTACACGATCATGCCGCCCCGCCATCTAGAGTAATAACCTTCCCATTGATCCATTCGCCCTCCTTGCTAGCGAGGAAGCCAACAACGTTCGCCACATCCTCAGGAAATCCGTTGCGGTGGAGGGGCGAGGCGTGGGCCGCCATCTGCTGGCGCTGTTCAGGTGTGTACTTCTCGCCGCCGGGGATGTAGTGGTGCGAGACGGCGTGGAACATGTCTGTGACAGTGCCACCTGGAGCGACAGCATTGACCGTGATCTTCTTGTCACCGCAGTCCTTGCTGAGGATGCGCACGAACGAGTCGATTGCGCCCTTGGAGCCCGAGTAGACCGAGTGTTTCGGCACGCTGAAGTCGCGCGACGTGTTGGACGACGTCAGGATGATGCGCCCACCCTCGCTCAGGCAGCGGTAGGCCTCGCGGGCGACGAAGAACTGGCCGCGCGTGTTGAGGCTGAAGACGCGGTCGAACTCCTCCTCGGTCACGTCCTTGAGGTGGCCGAAGCTGACCACGCCCGAGTTGCTGACGGCGATGTCGAGCCGGCCAAAGTGTGCCACGGCCGAGTCAAACAGTTTCGCCGTCTGCGAGACCTGCCGTACGTCGGCCTTAATGGCCACCGCGTCCGAGCCCAGTCGCTTGATCTCGGTGACGACCTTGGCAGCGTGAGCGTCTGAATTGGCGTAGTTGACAACGACTTTGGCGCCCAGCCGGCCCAGATGCACTGCTACAGCCGCGCCGATGCCGCGCCCGGAGCCTGTGACCAGCGCCACCTTGCCATCGAGGCGGCCAGGGATGTAGGGAGTTGCCATGCTTTGTTGTTGGAAGGGTGGGTATGAGACTGAATACAAGCGGTTGCAGATAACTCTAGGTGGTTGCCGTTGCAGGCTCGAATACTAGTAGTGCCCTGCCTTAAGCTGTTGACCCGGTACTCCCGGCGGGGAGCACAGCGGCCCCCGCAGTCCGGTCCGGGGAACAGAGGTCTCTCGTAACTGGGCGGTATTGGGTTTTGGAGCTGCAGCGGGTCTCGGAGTATTATTGGGCCCTTTGTATCGGACCTCGGGACATTGAACGGACCTCGCGCTGTGTGCTCGGGTGTGACACCCGAGGCACGGCCCGGGGTTACACTACAGTACCTAACGTACCCGCTATCCAGCCCGAACGCAACACGCCGGCCCCATCTGTTGATCAAGCAAGTCTACGAGTCTTATCGTGGGGCTATGAAGCCTTTGGTCATTGTGATCTCACAACCGTGACCGTCGTCGGCACAGGGTTGACAAACGGGCTGCCTCACCAGCTCATCTTATATAAGGTAGGTAGCCACATTCCCTGAGCCTTACGCTCGGGTCTCCGGCTTCATTCCCCATTCTCAACAACACCAACGTACCTTGATTCCTTCAAGTTACAAAACTCCATCTGCTTCTCGTGGTCTTCGCTCCATCGTGACAGCAACATGACCAAGAACAGCAACGAGACGCCTCCCTACGAGGGTTAGTTTGCATAGCTTATAGCGGTGATAGGGGGATAATCAAGTATTTTAACTAACGCTAGGACGATCGCAGATGTCGTAGGCTGCCAAGTCGCCATCTTCGAATGGGCCGAGAGCTTTGATTCCAAAGATTGGGACCGTCTATCGAGATGCATTGCGCCGAATCTCTATGTAAGTGCCTGCGTTTTCCACTTCCCAATGACACATTTAGTTCATGACTATGCCACAGGTTGATTACCGGGCCATCATGGGCCAGCTATGGGAATCTATGCCTGCCGAGCAGTTCGTGGCCATGGCCTCGAACGACAAGTTCCTCGGCAACCGGCGCATAAAGACGCAGCATTTCATTGGCGCGGGGAAATGGGTGCGCACTGGCGACGGGGAGATCACGGGCTATCACCAGATGCGCGTGGCACATCAGAAATACAAGGACGACGAACAGACGGCTGTGCTGTGCTCTGGACACGCTCACGGCAAAGCCACGGTGCAGTACCGCAAGGTCGATGGGGTCTGGAAGTTTGCTGGACTTGGGCCGGACATTCGATGGACTGAGAACGAGTATGATAAGATATTCCAGGACAGCTAGAGATAGTAGTAAGAATGCGTAACTTGGAATGGAAGGAACATGTCGCGTTTTCCTCTTACAACTACTCCTTCCATCGTCAATCTTCCAACGTTAGAACCACTCTTTCCACATAACAACCATGTACCTGGATTGCCTTGTGCCAGCTACCTTAGGCTTCTGGTTCAAGTTGAGCTCAACTAGTACTACTCAGTAGCTTGATTGTTGGCTACCGAGTAAACCCCTTTTGAGTACCTCGCAACTCACCTCACAGCTTCTTGGGTGGCTAGTTTGCGGATGCTGCACAGCCGGGCAAAGTTGTTTCGTGAATGCCAGCACGAAGTAGACTGATTAGAGCAGAGTCAACAGAAGAGGGGCCGCTAGCTATTGACATGTACCTTCCATGTAGGTGGTAGGAGGTACTAGTACTAAGTGCAGTGTCAATATGGCGCTGGGTGAATTGGGAGAAACGCGTCCATATCAAACTCAGGCAGCGGTCCGTCTACACGGCCACGGGGCATACATCTTGCAGGATGAAACATGTTATTTATGAGCGGCATAGCCAGACAACAGCCTGGCATAACCGACCACACTATTAGCCTATGGAGTCCATCTCAGCTATATCAGTCGAAACCGTCATCGCGGGCCCGTGTTGGACGGGAGATAGGAATGCAAGAATGGAAAGAAGTGCCTCAAAAGACCCATCAGAATGCACATCGGCGTGCCCGTCGGGAACTTTGCCCTGCCATTCGTATTCACCACGCTTACATTCCTGCCATCGTACAGGCCCTGTTCGTCGTCCACGGCTTCAATCATGGCCGCCGCAAGATCCAGATAGGACAGCGGGCTGTCCTCGTCGGTCAAGCTCAAGGCGTGCCCCCGCTGTATGTCAACCGACAGCGCCCCCGGCTTGACGTATATGGTGGTCAACCAGTCTTCTTGGGCCCGGAGTAACCGCTCGGCGGAGATGATGTCTTGGTAAACATGGGAAGCGGAGCGGAGGAGAATAAGGCGCAGCAGGTACGGGACGTGGCGCGAAAAATGGTCGTCTATGGTGGCGGATGACAGGAGAACAAGCTTCGGCAGACGCGCTCTCCCGCCAGTGGTCGACCTCAGATCTCGGGCGACCTGGATTACAGCGGTCGCTGTGTCTTGTGCCATTCGGCAGCCTGGGATGTTGTCGTTGGTCGAGACGACGAGGAAAACGGCATGGCAACCGAGTATGCACGAGGTCAACAGGTCGACATCGTGGATGCTGCCCTCGAAAATGCGCACCCGCCCGCCGTCTTTGATGCCCGGCATCAGCCGGAGCAGTTTGGCGCTATCCCGGCAATACGCATGAACTCGGGCATCGGGCTTGTTCAGGAGCGTCTCGATAAGGGCGGTGCCGCAGTTGCCTGTTGAGCCCAGGACGGCGTACATGTTTGGTTCTGCCATTTCTTCACGGTTGGCTCACTTAATGACACGGGTGAAACAGATGCAGACTTGGAATGAAACCAACCTGTCATGACGGAATATGCGGTCCGCATGTTGAGGACCTATACCGGTAGTATTGATATCTATGGCGGGAATGGAAAACGTGCGATCCCGCCGATTGTCGGGTCAAGGCTGATTGGCAGTACCTAGGTGATCAATCGCGCGGTACATATGACCCGGTGGTTCCGAGATCGGGGTTCCGGGATCTGCCCGGACTTTGCCCCACTTTTCCGGCCCTCGGGAATTTAACGCCCGGGCGAACTGCCGAATGTACAGTACAATGTATAACCGCAGCTGAATTACAAAGAGAACACATACAATCACGACTCAAAAGCCAAAAAGAAATCAAGAAGACGAAGCTCCTACCTTGGCTCCATACTTATTTCTTGAAGCGAAAACTTCTACTTAGGAAGCTGAAGAGCAATCAATTCTACTCTCACATGTGAAAGTTTCGGACCACTATATTGTCAGAACGTTTAACTAAGGTACTGCTAGATTTTAAAAACACGGGTATTCTACTAATCTCAACGCCCGTAAAAAGATTAAGGTACTATAGTCGGCGGTGGTTAGCTTGAAAAATCAACAATCAAGCGTTAGCAAGCGAACTCCGCTCGTTCGCCGTTAGCTACTGCCGTAGAGAGGTACCTCAGGTTCCATGAGACCAATGAGCTCTCTTAGGGGGTTGGGCAGTCCCATGGTAGAACTTCCGCACACAGCAGGAATACCAAAGAGGGAACTCAGGCTGACTAGGACCCTGGCTCAACGGCCACGACCTTCAAACTGTATGTACCTAGTTACGTACCTTTGTACCTAGTTTCTACTATAGGTATCCCAAGATGCAGGCCTGCTGCCTTATATATACCTATATAGGTAGGGAGGCATTGGTACTAGACGGCTCATCGGTTGGATGCCAGCACCCTTTATTTGCTCGTTGGTCCACTCGATCCCAGTCTTTGCATGGATGCCCGGGAACTTTTTACACTGATACTGACCCCGCAGCTTGGCAGCATGAAACACACGCAGGAGCGGAAGCTTACAAGTTACATCGCAGGGAAGATGATGATAAGCAGCTGGAACGACCCACACTACCGTCCGGTACCAACATGAACGGTCTGGACAAGCTTTGTACAAGCCTTTATAGAAAGCTTGTCTCTACTCCAAGAACATGGCAATGAGCTTTTCGCACCCGACAAGCCTCTTTGCCAATCAACTTGGGCGCCACGAGTTCTTGAACCGGTAACGATCCAATCCGGCCATAAATAGGTACATACGTGACTTGATACAACGAGAAAAAAAGAACCTGGCCGGCATGACGGGCATCAAGCCGCCGGTTGGCGGAGCGTCTGAATTCCTGCAAGATCTCGCTCGCCAGGTACCTACACACTCCCGACCTCTTCCATTAGCACTCTCTCTTCGCCGTTGGCCCGGGCTTCTACTAGATGGCCTGTGCTAGATGGCCTTTCAGTTTCTGTCTACCCCTAGTCTCATCAATTCTGCTCTCTCCTAGGTCGAGATTATAGTCTGCCTCCATTGGCTCGCCGAGTTCCAGATCCTCGCATGCATCCCGCTCGAGGAAAGCGTTCCGATGAAGGACCTGGCCGATTTGGCCGGGGTTCCCGACACACAGCTGGCTCGCGTCGTCCGGCTGACGGCCACGCGCGGATTCCTCCACGAGCCGCAGACAAACCACGTTGCGCACACGCACCTGTCGGCGCAGTTCATGGAAAACCGGTCTCTGCTGGATGCCGCCGTGTTCATGGCCGAGTTCGCCGTCCCCGCGGCCCTGCACATGTCGTCAGCAACCCAGCGCTTCGGTGCCTCGGCCGACCCCGCCCAGAGCGCCTTCAACCTGGCCTTGGGCACGTCCGAGCCATTCCACCGAGTCCGCCGGGAGCGGCCAAAAGTGCGCCGTCAGTGGTCGGCTTATTTGAGCCATGTAGCGGGGGTCCATGCAGAAGGCAAGGTGGCTGATGCGCTTATGCGGCTCAGCTGGTCGAATCTGGGCGATGCATGTGTCGTCGAGGTAAGTGACTCAGGGGTGTTGCAGGGCTCGGACTCATTTTCTAAGATGGCTTACCCGCGTATGCATGTCATCGGGCTCAAGACTGACCAGAGCGGCAGGTCGGCGCGCAATCAACTCGGCTGGCTAGAACCCTGGCAGATCACTCCCCAAATCTCCGTGTGGTGGTGCAAATGGACGCGAAAGCCCAGTCATCCCCGCCCGTTCTTCCCGACAGCCTGTACCACCACGGAGCATTGGAGGGTGGTCTCGGTCTCGGCACCGACGAAGCGGAGCTGGCCACCTCAATCTCCTCCTCCTCCTCCCCACCCTCCAACTCGTCAGGATCCAGCTCCGGCTCCACTACCAACTCCAGGGTCACTGTAATCTCCCGCCCCGTGGGCATGCCGCAACCAATAACCGACGCAGCAGCTTACATCATTCACATCATGCCCTCAAGCGGCGCAGAGGGCGGGCCCACAGTGCGTGCCCAGCTGCACGAGTACGTTGGCGTGCTCCGCGCGAGCATGGGGGTCATGCTCGTCCTGACGGCTCAGGTACTTCCCGAGCCGGGCAGTGTCCCGAATTCCGAGGTCGAAGCTGTGGTCCGCGCCCGCGACCTCAGCATGCTCCAGCTGGCCAACGAAGGCGCTGTGGAAATGGCCGAATTGGTGGGCATAATAGACACGCTGCGTGACGAGACTGGCAAGCTCGTCGTCATCAACAAGCTCCGCGCTCAAGACGGTCTTGTCTTGGTTCTTGTTGTCAAATACCAAGCTTGTTAAGATAAGAGTAAGGCATCATTCCGTTATCCGGCACGGTTCATACCCGACCAAGCTTGCTTGACTCCGTCTGGTCCGGTATTTTTGATCGCTCAAAGGCCGAGTCCTCGAACGTGTTAAATGTATCATGGACAGTAGCAACAAGATCTTCGCCCAGGACGACAAGTTCTGGGACAATTATTCCCGCGGCCGCCCACGCGTGCCCAACTCCTTCTTCGACCGCCTCTTTGATTACCACCAGGCCAAGGGCGGGACCTTTGGCACAGTCCACGACGCTGGAGCCGGGAACGGGCCCTACGCGCGGGTCTTGCGCTCACGCTTCGCCCACGTCATTGTCTCAGATATTGTAGCCGAAAACGTCCAGCTCGCCCGTGAGCGCCTGCGAGGCGCTGACGGCTTCAGCTTCCGCGTGTCCAAGCTCGAAGAGGCCGACGACATCCCGCCCTGCAGCGTCGACATGGTCTTTGCGACCAACGTGATGCACTTTGCCGAGCCGCAGGACGCCGCCATGGCCACGCTCGCGCGCCAGCTGCGGCCCGGAGGCACCTTTGTCGCCGCCGCGTTCGGGCCGGCCCGGTTCTGCGACGCAAAGCTACAGGACCTGTGGGCTCGCATCAGCCACCACGGCGGTCGCCAGCTGCTTGCGTCGGCCGAAAACCCGGACCAGACCATCAGGGTCATGGCGCGCACTCAGGGCACGTATAACGTGGCGCCACTCAGTCGGGAGCTCTTTGCCCCGCGGGCCCGAAGGATTAATATCAACATGGCGCAGGGTGGTATCCAGGGGATGCTGCCGCCGGAGGAAGCACACAGGGACACGGAGGCTAGTCATATTGGGTCGGACGACGTCGAGACTTGGGAGGAGGAGATGGAGGGCTGGAGCTTTGAGGCTGGCTTGGCGGAGGTTAAGGAGCACTTTGACTCGTTTCCGTTTGTGTCGCGGTTTCCTGATGCTCTTTTGGGGTTGTACAAGGAGCTGGACGAGCTTCTGGCAAACGGGAAGCGCGTTAAGGGGTATTTTCCTGTCAAGCTGATACTAGCAACACGGGTCTAACGGGCCCCCTTGTCCATGGTTCTGGTACCACCGCACGGTTTGTCAGAAATGAAACGAAACTGTAGGGAAAAACCAATTGCTCTCCACCAGTTTCAACTGCTCCTTATCACTCACGAACGAGGTTGCGTGCGGGTTTCAAGGACGAACGAGTCTGCATCCGGGTTCAGACAGTCCAGTCTCAATGTTGAGATTCAGGGGCAGAGACAACAACCCATCTCGTCACTACAAAGCGAAGTATAGTACCTTCAAAGCAACACACCGCGAACGAACATCAAAACTTATCTATCCCTTCCTTTCAGTCTCCGCTGATTTCAATCCGACCACGTGAGCCATACCTATCTACCAAGCCTCACCAATGCCGCCTCTGCATCAGCCCTAGGTCCATCGCAGGCCATAATTGCTCCAAGTCCATCATACCCGATCCGGCGAACATGTCTGGTAATCCACCTCCAGGTGCCGGCGGTACTGCAAAGGACGGCGGTGCAGCGATCGGGTTCCCACCCATGTTCATGTGTAGTGATGGATCCGCGGAAGATGGGTCCAGACTAATAGTACTATTTCCTACATCACCGCTAGGCTGCTCCTGCTCCATGATGGCATTGCCCTGTGCCGCGCGAGTGAATCCAATCTTGGCGCTGATGCTCGCCACGATCCGTGGTGGTGGTCTTGTCTCCACTGGCGGCGACCTGTCAAGGCTGGCGTCATCACCTTGTTGTTGTTGTTGCTGTTGTTGATCACGCGCCTCCCAAGCTTGCAGGACGAGCCGTGACAGGAGAACTAAGAACGGCGAGTTGTAGTACTCTGACGAACCCAAACCGCGAGCCTCGAAGCAGTCGCTCATCACCTCCCAGGCTTGTGCAGCACTGTCGTCTCTGGGCTGCTTCTTTAAATGCTGGAGCAGGTAGGTGTAGGCGAGGAAAGGGAAATGATACTCGATATGCCAGCGGTAGCCCTTTGTTAGAGGTGACGACATGAGTTTGGTGTCGCATTCGATCATGTTAAGTGCATACCCAACGCCAGGGTTGTGGTGTTGCTGTTGTTGTGGATCGGCTAGCGGCTGCGCGGACTTGGATTTTGCATGCCTCGAGCAGTGTTCGAGGAGCAAGATCTTGGCCATGTAGGCTCGCGCGGTCCATATTGTCATGAAATGGAGCGGGTTTGCCGGATCGCAGTGCGCAAGAGTCCCCTCCTCAACGGCCCTTTGCAGCTCGAGCGCATTGCGGCCTCCCAATGGAGCGGCGCCGCCGGTTGCAGCATCTTTGGCCTGGGCAAACGTAGTCAGCAATGGATCGATGAAGTCGAGGTGAAAGGCGCAGTGGCGGACAAAGTCGCTTAGTTGGCTGCGCACAACCACGAATACTGCCTCGGTAGGGTTCGTGTGAACTCGTGGAACGGCCTTCATGTCTGGTAGGAGCTCGAAATCATTCAGGTTGAGAGGAGTCCTGCAGTTCCAAGTCGGAGCCAGCGTCGCAGTCCTGTAGTTGAACATCTCGCAAATGCGATTGTCAAAGATGACCAGCGACCACCACAACCTTCGACGCATCTCCGCCTCCAGCGCGCTGCATTTCGCATGGTTGGATTCGTTGTGGTAGCCCATGCGTTGCGCGATGCGGATGGCAACGGCCAACATGGACGAGAGTGATCGAGGATCTGTTTCGGGTCTGACGGATACCTGAGCGCACGCAGATTAGAGGTTAATCTTTGCGAGTTTGACCTCAAGACTGCCTTACTAGGTAAAGGTACAAAGCCGTAAGGCAGTCATGATCACTAGACTGTAGGACATTCGCATTGAGCAGCGCTTGCCGACATGCGAACTGATAGCCTGTTAAAAGATCGTTCTTGCGAGATCCAAACAGGGTGTGGCATTGATCATCGAGAAGACTCAGGACAGAGACGCAGTAGATGCTGAAGAGAAGGGCTTCTAATGGTGCTCCGAGGTTTGTAAGGTCACCGACAGCGTCGATGATGCGCCCCTGCAAGCTGGGCGTGTGGGTGACCTTCAGCAGAGGATTCACGTTGTCGAGATAGATCTGCCACAGTCGCAAGATTTTGGCCTGTTCCGGGTGCAAGGTGGCTAGGTCGACTTTGCTCACGGGTGAGCCGAACAGAAGATGGTGCGTGTTTTCCAAGTCATTGTTGTACGTGTGATGGTCCCACGCGTTCTTGATGACAGCATCCCGCAGATCATCCTGGTTGTGAAGGAAGCCACTGTCGGCCTCATCATCGTCATCCTCGGCATCAGAACTCTTGTCCTGGAGTCAGTCAAGTTCCCATTTAGAACGTAGAGTTGCCGGTACTGCACCTTTTGGCCTACGGCGTGCCAGAGGTTGCTGGCGGCCAAGTCAGCCATCTCAAATGAAGGTATGAAAGTGCAGGGTGGCCCAGGGGGAGGCGCACGCAGGTCTTGTTTTGGTGGCAAGCAGGGAGTTGACCTGTGGCTGTACCGTGCTGCTCGGGGTCACAGGACTGCCACCACTGAGAGGAGACGACCCTGGCTGATTTTCAGCGGCGGTAATACCGGCAGAAGGATGATGCGACGGGTGCAAGGGCTCGAAATTGATGTTGTGCTGATGGAGCAGGGCCTCGTAATGGCGGATGCGGGCCAGCAGTTCCCGCTCTGGAAACCTACGGCGGCGCTCTCGCGGGATCGTGGCAGGAACACACTGGGCGCCATTGCGGAGACAGTTTGCGCAGGGAAACTTGCGGTCGCACTTGACTTTCCGTTGCTGGCACATCTGGCACGCCAGCACCCGCTGGGGCTTCAAGTTCGCCGCGACACGGACTGTGTCTGTTATCTCCGGCTGCTCCGTCGACATTGTGCAGTCCCGTCTCGGCCAATACTAAGGTCAGAGACCAGTTGGGGTGTTGGGGAGGAATGGCTAGTTCGGGGTTTTGAGCCCCGTTGGCAAGAGAACGTGGGAAACATCAAACGGCCCCCACTCATCAGTGATAACTATAGTTTACTGCTTGGCATTGGTAGGCTGCTGGGTATAGGGTAGGTGCTGCGGCTAGGGTAGTAGGTGCGCTGGTAGGTCCCAACACAGGGCATTTTACGGGTAGATTGGCGATAGTTACTAATGCTCCATTGAGCTATTCCCTTCGTCCCAGTTGTACCAGACTACCTACCTAGGTACCTTACATATATCTAGTACATTAGGTTTGCCACATTCCACCTGCCATTTGCCATTCCATACGTTGTAAAGCGATGTGAGATTGTAGTAAAACACCCATCGCACCTTCTATAGGTAATGCTCGGCTTCTCCCTTTACCTAAGGTACCTACCTACCTCATCTTAGTCATCTTTTAAAGTTCGAACACATCTTTGCATACCTGATTCCACTTGATCCCCCATTTCCACAATGAAAGCCAAATCTACTAGTAGTAGGTAGGTATTTAGTATTCAATCCGGATGGTAGTTGTACCCGATTGGGTGGTTGAACCCAAGCTCGGGAAATAGAAATCTCCGGGATCGTGTACCCCTATTGTCATTTCCCGATGCCGACGAGGCCGAGTCAATGTTTGGCGATATATCCTTGGAAAGATCATACAAATCAATGGAAGGAGACGAGAGTCACCATCTCTTCATCGTTCTGCCCCCAGACACTTCAAGATAAATCTTCTCCAGTGTCTAGTATTTTCACTCTTCTCCCCCCCCCGAGCCCCTGACCATTAGGCCCCGTTTGCAGCGTGCAAGGCGGAAAACAGACTTTCTTCCTGTGATGGATCCTGACCGTCCCGAGACTTCCCGCAACATCGCCGAGCTGGAATCTGGCGAACCTATCAGCTCGAATCATGCAGGCGACGCGTCCAATGTTCCAGATCTTGAGGCCAATGCAAAAGAGACCTCCAAGCCAGAAGGGCAACCGAACGAGCCTAACAAGGCGACCATGGCCCTTGTCCTAACCTCAGTCCTGTTGGCCATGTTTCTCGTTGCTCTAGACCGAACCATCATCTCAACGGTACGAAGAAGAGGTTCATCCCCAAGGAACTAAGGTTTTGTAGTACTGACAGTTATCACCGCCAGGCCATCCCCGCCATCACCAACGAGTTCAACTCGTTCGACGACGTCGGCTGGTACGGAAGCGCCTATCTGTTGACATGCTGTGCCTTCCAGCTCCTGTTCGGCAAGGTGTACTCCTTGTTCCCCGTCAAGACTGTCCTTCTTACGAGCATCGTGATCTTCGAAGTCGCCTCCGTCATCTGCGGAGCAGCCCCTAACTCAGTGGCTCTTAATATCGGGAGGGCGATTTGTGGAGTTGGTGCCGCGGGCATCTTTGCTGGGACGGTGAGTGAGAGTCTCGCTGTCACTGTTTCAAACGATGGACTTGCGAGTATTAGAAGTCATCTAACGGACGGTCTCGGGGGCAGATTGTCTCCATCGTTTTCATCGTCCCTCTCCACCAGCGGCCCAAGATCCAAGGCTTGTTCGGCGCTCTCTTCGGCCTCGCCTCCATAGTCGGCCCTATCATTGGCGGTGCTTTCACATCGAACGTGACATGGAGGTGGTGCTTCTACATCAACCTGCCTATTGGCGGCGTCGCTTTGGCAGCTATTGCCTTGTTTCTGAAGGTTCCCGATCGCGGTGTGGATACAACAAAGTTGCCGCTCTCCAAGAAGATCGTCCAACTCGATCTGGTCGGAACTGCCATTCTCATCCCCGGCGTTGTTTGTCTCTTGTTGGCACTCCAGTGGGGCGGCCCGACGTATCCTGTAGGTCTAACAGGAACATCGTGATTCTCGGTACATAGACTGACAGAGTAGCAGTGGAGCGATGGCCGCATCATCGCATTATTGACTCTGGCGGGAGTCCTGTTGGTTGCCTATGCTGGCGTCCAAGCGACGCTGAGGAAGACGGCCACACTGCCTGCTCGCCTCGTCAAGCAGCGGAGTGTCATTTCCGCTTTCTGGTCAACGCTCTGCATCAACTCTGGCAACTATATATTCAGTAAGAGAACCATTGTTTGTCCAAGCACCGTGCCTCCCAACGGCTGATCCTAATGTTGGGTAGTATACTTCCTTCCAATCTGGTTCCAGGCTGTTCAGGGGGTGACGGCTGTCGACTCTGGTATTCGGCTGCTGCCCATGATGCTTTCTTCGGTTGTTGGATCTGTCTTTGGCGGATTCCTCAACGCCAAAGTCGGATACTATACGCCGCTTGCTATTGTCGGAACTTGTATCATGATCGTCGGAGCCGGCATGCTTACGACACTCCAAGTTGATTCGAGCTCCGGCAAGTGGATCGGCTATCAGGTTCTCTATGGATTTGGCCTGGGCACGTCTTTCCAGATTCCAAACCTGGCGGTACAGACGGCTCTACCCAAGAAGGATGTGCCGATGGGGTTGGCCCTCATGTTATTTGGTTCGCTGATCGGCTCGGCCGTGTTTGTCTCGGTTGGCGAAAACGTCTTGAGCAACCAGCTTGGACAGCGTCTTTCGAGGTTCCCCGGGTTCGACATCAAACTCTTGACGTCAGGCGGTGTTACGGCATTGCTCGATTCTCTGCCAGCGGATTCGCGCGCCTCGGCTCTCGCAGAATACAACGAGGCGCTCCGGGTGGTTTTCCGGGTCGGACTCATTGTTTCGTGTTTGGCCATCCTCGGAACGGCTACGCTGGAATGGCTGAGCGTCAAGAAGCCGCAGTCGCAGGCCCCGCAGGCCCCGACTGAGCCTACTGCCGGTGCCGAGAAGAAGGAGGCCGGGGAGACCGAAACAAGTTGAAGATATCCGACCTCTCAGGCTTCAGGGAATCGGGGTTTTGAAGCAATTGGCGGTCATTGGTCAAATTGAGCCTGCGGAAATAAGACTGTACTTAGATGAATCTGATATCAATTAGGCCTAGATTATAGTTAGATAGAAGCTCAATTGCACGAACATGCTCCCGGTAATAAGCCATCACATTTGACTTTATCGGTGTCTGGGTCGCACTGGTCCACATCCCGCCGGCCGTACTAACGAACGTCAGGTAGCTGTCTGATCGCAGCGGTATCATGACCGAAAAAGACGTCCGGGTGAAACTTGAACGGAACGATCAAAAGGATCGATTTGACTGAGTTGCAGTGTAATGCTGCTGGTGATGACTGAGAACGACTCCTCCTGGTAGCAAGCTCCATCATCCATGCACCGACCGCAGGGTGTGGTGCTGAATGTGATCTCCTGGAAAAGTTGTGGAATTGCTCCCGGCACTGCTGAAAGGTACGACCTTTGGACGAGGGTCTGTTAGAAGCGATAGTCGAGAGGACAATTTTTGGCTGTGAAATTTTGGTCCTACTAACAGATACTCTGGCAGCCCAAAGTATACCGTGCCCAACAGTCCGCCCGGGATACTGTGCCCAGCGCAGCGCCATCAGAAGACCCATGCGCACCCCTAAACTTGAGCGCTGCCGCGCCGACCGACCACCTACCGACGACCTTCCGTTGGTGCTGCACCTCGCTGCACCTCGGGCACCTGCAACCTGCCTGCCCACTGTAACACTGCCCCTAATGAAGCGTCACGGTCGTATGTGGAGTACAGTACATACAGGATACACAAAAACCGTGACATTCCCACAAAGTGAAACCCTGAAGATTTCACAGCCAGGGTCGTTCTCAATCAATTGACATCGGTGACACATACATGCTCTAACAAGCCAACAACGCCAACCTGCTGCGAGTACCATGTATCAGATCTGCCGAAGGTTATTGATGAGCTCAGCTGACAGCGTCCCCAGGCAGTTCCGCACGTCGTTCGCAACCATTTCCAATGTCCCAACCGAGAACGGCGAAATAGTCTGCAACCCCGAGGCCGGCAATGGCTCCCCGATCACCGGCCATCGGCTTCCTGATCCACCATGTTTTGGCATGGACCTTTCGGGAGAAGGCGGCGCCTTGAGCTTGGGTGACAGCTTATTCACCACCCTCTGGGCGCGGTGCAGCTCGCTGAGGACGAGCTTGGCCTGTCTGGTTGTCTTGTCATCCGCCTCTGGCTCCACACCGGGATGCGGCGGGGGGCTTGAAGCGGCGGCTGAGTAGAGCTCAAGAATCTTGAGGACCGCCGTCGCCAGGACGGTGAGCAAGAAGCTGTCATGGGTGCACGAGGAGCATGCAAGCATGCCTTCAACCGCTTCGATGCCTTGTTTGTTCTTCTGGAGCACAGTCCGAGTCTGTACCGGGTCGCTGACCCGAACAGTGGCATCGGAGCCCACAAGCGTGGCGCTAGCAGGGGAATTGGGATTGTTGGTCGACGAAAGCGTCTTGAGCAGATCTAGTGCCCGAGCCAAGCAGCCACACGATGGCGGCGGTGTCGGGGTGTCAATAGTGAGCGGCCCACCCGTAGGACGTTGGGTTATGTTGGATGGAGGTGGGGTTGCACCGGATGCTGCGTTTAGGAGATCAGCTGCCGACGAGGATGATGATTCTGAGGCAGCAGAAGAGTCCGAGGCGTGGGTGTCATTTCCGACCGGCATGAGAAGCGAGGCAACATCGATCTGCGACTGGGTGTTGCTGCTGCTGCTGCTGTCGCTGACGTCCTGCATGGACAGCTCAGGGGGGGATTCCATGCCCGATGTGATAAAGTCCATGTCGCTGACGTCAGACGAGAAATATGCCAGGCTGAGCGCGGTTGCATTCATGTTCGCAAGCACCGAAAACAGTTCTGAGCCGTTGGTTGCAGACATGTTCTCCGCTATTCTGGGTGAGGCCGGGATGCGGAGGCTGGGCGGCCCATCGCCCGGTGGTGTTGTGATCCCGGGCAGGAAGTAGGGTCTCGGAATCGGTTGCAGGGCATGGATTGTATCAGCATACCGGGTCCAGCTGCCGTCAAGCTCGGTGTTGGACGCGGGCCCGGAGATGGGCTCGGGCGTGGCGGGGCCGGACGAGGCCGTCGTTTTCTGGCCGGCCGTACTGTTCTCGCGCCTCCGTCCTGGGCGCTTCGTGAAGAAGTACTCGCATGCAATGTTACGGCTTTCGCACCTCGAGCATGCCGGCTTCTGCTTAGGGCACTTGACCTTGGACACGGCACAGGCCTGGCAACTGTCACGCAGCTTGGAGCTCCGCCACTGCGACCGAGGTCCGGGCCCAGTCTGTGTGCCAGCTTCTCTGTCGACCATGTTCAAGTTTTCTTCTCTTTCGAAATATGGGTTTTGTTCGAGGCAGGCGGCGTGCAATGAAAATACCCTTGGACTCCAAATCACGAGCTTCGTCTAAAGTCTAAAGAACCAACGTTACCTGAACAGCACCATACTGACAGCAGCACAGCTGTGCCGTGGTTGACATATTTATCTTGGCAGCTTGGCTGGTCTGAGAGCTCAAAAGCTTGAGAAGCTTGTATTCCTTGGCGTGGGCACCGCCCTTGCTAGTGCTTACGAACTGACGATTCAAACTGGATCCTGAAGTAGCAGGTGTCCTAGCGAAACCTCGCAAAAGAGCTGTGGTTAACTCGATGACAATCCGAGCACGGCGGATAATTAGGCCGTCCTCTGAAGCCGGTGGGCTTGCTTCTTTGGGAGGGTTGCAGCAGGGGATTTGCTATGTGCCTTACGAAAGATAACAGTTTCGTCTTGCTAATAAGAGTAAGGGCATTCTAGGTAACACATAGCAGACCTACACTACACATAACGCTTCTCGATCTTATCTTGCATCACTGCATGATTTCTCGGCTTCGACGATCAGAATCCAGTCCTGAGCCCAACGGTATATGCTTAAGACTGTTAGATTCGGTCTATTAAGATGAACTGCCCGGTGTAGAATACGTTCCTGCTGAGTAGTAGATACAATACCTACTCCATACAAACCGCTATAGTCAGTTCGGTCTTAGGGACTGTAACCTATCAACAGACTGTCATGTCTCGCTGTCCTTGAAATCCGATGGCCAGTTCATTAGTAATTGACGAGGAATTTGTCCCAACTATTCCCCGTTTAAGAAGGAACTCCTCTACAGAAAACGGTTTCCGGAGATTAACGGCCAAAATCTTACGCATACCCGGACCAATTGTTGAGTCAGGGTTCAACAAACCGCGTAGGTTACCTTGCCTAGGTAGGTAGGCACCTATGTCCGGTACTACAGCAGTGAACTGCACAACCACCGACGGCACCAACCACCCGGACAACCTGATTCCAGTTAATTACATGTAATCGGGCAACCATCGATGGACGGTACCAACCGCTTACACCTGCAGATGTATGTCCACGGGTGGTCGGGGAGATATAAGCAGGCAAATCCAATCCGTTGACTAATGACTACCTACGCAGCTACTTACTACACCTACTACACCAACACTAACCGCCCGCACCAACATCAACCGCCCGCGTCTAGGGATATGCAGGCCGATCCAATAGTTGACTATCATACAGCTGTGGGTAGCACCAAGTTACCAACGGCTCACACGATGTAAGCAGTCTCATCCCTATCGGAGCAACCGCCATTGACAATACCTACCAACAGTTACTAGGCAGCTACCGTGCCTCCTTTGGTAGGGCTCTACTTAGTAGGGGCAAATCATACAACGGTTGGTTAGCCCAGTAAGCTTTCTTCTGGGTATTGCGTCGCCTTCGCCTGTTAGTAACATACAACCGCTAGATACGGCTACGTTCGACTTGCGCCGGGCCTGGCACCTCTAGCTAATGGCGACATGGAGGTTGACGATGCCCCCCACCCACACATACCAGGCTTCTCACCCACCATTAAAATAAGCTCCGCCACCAAATTACATACGCGGGCGGTATCAAACCCGGGTCAGGCGCTGCACCTCTTTGGTCCCTCGGTCGTCGATTTGAAACATGCGGCCAAATCTTTCAGGGTCCGCGGGGTTAAGTCCCAGCCTCATGCGGGCCACTGAAAGCCCGGCTCGGCCCGTAGCTTGATCCGACACGGACCCGAGATACCCACCTTTTAAGTTCTTGCTCGGACCTTAGCTTTCTCCGAAGCGGCCCGGGTCCGGCCCACGGCACTCGCGCTACCGTGCTGTTCGACCCTCTGACGGTGCGTTATACTGTACCCAGCATATGCAGGTGAGCCGGCCGATGCTGGAGCGGTTAGTGATACTTCCAGTTACTCACCGGATTGCAACTCTTCGACGTGATTACCTACCTGACGTAACTCTAAGCGCCGCTTGACTGCCCCTGACGGGAGCTATGAACACCGCCCAATTCTTCTCAAGGACTCGTACCTTAGTGGCACGTGCAAATGCGCTAGGATCAGGTATCAGGCATTGCCCCCTCACGTCTAGCTCTTGAAACTCTTTCTCGTACCTCAGTAGGTAGGAATTCAAGTTTACCAACGTAGTTCATGGCGTATTCTTCTTGCAATACCTGGTGGAAGCCGCAGGTATGGGCACATATGCTTCCAAGTTTGGGTGGACAAAGACTTGAAACTGAATCGAGCAGGCAGGGCAGCTCAATCTCCCTCCGCTGAACGCAAGACAACTACTAGTAACAGTGAACACATGCATTGTTACGTCCCGTCTGCGTTCGCGATGGCTGGCTACATGTACCGTATGTACACTCATGCATCAGCCAGATAAGCGGCCCAATCAAGCTTCCGCCCGCACCGTCTTCTGCTGCGCTACGTACGCATCGAGCTTGGGGAGGAAGTCCTTCATCACAATAGCGTCAAACATCTCCTCAATCTTGGCTACCTTTCTACCGCTCTCGTCAAACCACAAAAAGAGAGCGTGCTCGTTGTTGTACGGCCCGAAGGGGGTGTCGGCCTTGGTAAGGGCGTATATGACGGCCTTGCCGTGGGCCGCATCGTGGACCACGTTGTGGACTATGAGCTATGTATGGCCGTCCGTCAGGGTGGTTGTTCCGAGAGCGTCCAGTCGGTGTGCGGTCATGATGAACACTGAGTTTTACATACCTGAAAGTTGGACATGAGCCCCATAAGGACAGGGAAGAGCGTCTCCGTATCTGCCCGAGTGCGAAGCGGAACGTTGGAACTGAAAGGCAGCGTCTTCTGCGTGCAATCATCGGTCCAGGTGGAGAGGAAGCCGTCGGCCGTCCACCCTCGCCACTTCTCGATGAATTTGTTAAGCGTTTCGGCTTGGATCTCGGCTGGTGCAGGCATGATGGTCCGGCACAGTATATGTCAGTGACTCGGTAGTCGGTGGAATTGAAAGTCTGAGAACCCCCTTCACACAAGGGTGTGCAGGTGGCTCTCCAAGATTTGCAAGTACAGGTTGCTTTCCTGGCCGGGGACGAGACTTATAACGTGAACGCTTCCTCTTAGGGTTCCGAACCACATCCGTACCTAACGCGCACAGCGCCAAGCATGCCGGGCGGTTCAGGCGAGCCCCGCAACGTACTCGGTTGATTCAGGCTGAGTACCATATCTCTTTGCTCCGGGTGGGTGGGCACGAACATATACCCCGAAATCCGCGATCCTGGGGCCGGGAAGTCTTAACAATTCGCCCGACTTTAGTTCCGGTCGGGACGGCCCGTGCGGGATTAAGGAACGAAAAGGGGTGACCGAGGGGGGTGGGAGGAGGGGGCAAGAGGCATAGGAAAGGTTTGTTTGTACTGCTTTCGTCAGGGCCCTGCATCCTAGTATTCGTAGAGAAGAAAAAGGTGCGCCGTCGCCGTCAAAAAATCGAATCTCGTGGATCGAGGCTGTCCTCCTAATTCTCATGTTGTAACTCGAGCTGGGTTTCCGTGTTCCAATATGGATTTTGCCCACAGGACCAACACAACTTCGGTGGACACGGGTGATTTGTTTCAGGCTCCCGTGACACTCGGTCTTGCTTCTATTGTAGCAGCCGTCATCAGTTTCGTGGCCTTCCTGTCACATACCCCCAATATCGACAAGAGGTCTCCCGCCTTCACACCCGAACGAACCCTGTTTGTCGGCTCTTTGAACTTTCTCACGAAGCAATGGTTAGTCCTAGTGTGTTTGGCCCGTGCAAGACCTCTCTCTATGCGCCCCACCC